TTACCAAAGCCTAACTCACTTGGGGGAAAGGAAATAACCAATGCCAGCCTCCTCTAGATTTTGTTTTGTAACAGGGTGGTCCCCAGGAAAAGGGGAAGTTCCAGGTTTCCTGCCCCACCCAAGAGAGGGTGGAAGCTGTTCAGGGAGGGGAAGAAGCTGGAGAGGAGACTGGAGAAGGAAGGAAGCAGGATGGAGAGCAAGGAGACTTGGACGAGGCACATGGAACTGAGAGACATGTGAAACTTGCCTTTTGGTCGTGGACTGGTTGACACAGATGTGGGTTAGAGACCCATGGGGACATTAACAATGGCAATATTTATCTTGATTGTGATTTTGCTTTTATCCTTCCAGACTTGTCTGGTTGTTTCTGATCCTTTTCTATGGGTCCCCACCGGAAGGTGCTTTAGATTTGTGACAGGCTTTTGGAACTTGCTCAGCCAATCCTGTTTGGATGGACTTTTACCCACGAGGGGATGGGTAACTTTGGGTGCTTAATTTAGAAACTATATTCTTTGTCTTTTCTGTATTGTTCCCTAATTGTATTAAAGTTCCTTTCCATTAAAGTCTTATGTGCTTTGTGTTGATGCCACAGAGGGCAGAACCTATTTAGGTTTGAGGGTTTAGGCAGGTTTGGGGGTTCTAAAATACCCCTTTTGTTGAGCACAGCACTGTGAAGCTACCGGTAGCTTCTGCAGCACGAGTTCGATCCCCAGCCAGGCAGGGAGCAACCCACATGGCGCAGCAGACCTCTTGTGACTCGCCCACTGCTCCCCTTAGCAGTGTATTTTGGTTAGTCTGCCTGTTCTGTTCCCCACTCTGTCTCTGGTGAATTATCTCACCACCCACACCTCTGGCCTATACCCCAGTTCTTGTATGCATAAATAAATAAATCTTTAAAAATAAATAAATAAAATACCCCTTTCCCTGCCCTGTAACAGACAAGGGGGAAAGGAAATGCCCTAGTTAGGCTCACCAAAAGACTGAGAACTAATTATAGGATTATAGAACACTTCTCCCACACTTTGTCACCACATCAATAGGGTTCCTGCATAATAACAGAGGATTATAGGTAAAAGAACTCCAACCTTCAGATTCAATTCTTAAATTCCTGTTCTAAGAAAACACCCAAAGATAATAGGGGAGACAAAAGCAAGAAAGTAGAGCAAGTTTTAGCCTTTGACACCACAGCAATGCAAACATTCAATACATGCTAAGTACTATCCAGATAAACAAAATCTCAGGAGAAAGGCCTACATCAGTTCCTTTTAACTGATACATCATGTTCAACTTTCAACAACAAAAAAATTACTGGGAATGCTAAAAGCAAAACCAGTCAGAAGAGACAAAACAAGTATCTGATCCAGACCCAGATATGGCAGGGGTTTTGGAATTAGGAGACCAGTTATTAAAAATAACTGATTAGGGCCTCCCCTGGTGGCACAGCGGTTGAGCGCTGGGTTGTGAGGCTGCCCGCAGCAACTGCAGCGCCAGTTAGATCCCCGGCCACCGGCGAGGGTCCCACAAAAAAAAAAAAAAAAAATTCTGATTAATACACTCAGAATGGCATGGTCCTTCTTGTTTTATTCATCTTTAATTCACCGGTTTCAGAACACTCACAATACCTAAAGCACAGAGGGCCCAAACAAATATTTGCTGGATGACTAGAAACAAAAACCCAGATATCCGTATGTCAATTTAAAACCTCTTTCTATTATACTATTTCACTGCTTAGGTATGAAATAGTACATAAAATAGAAACATGATATCTGGCCTACATCCCAGTTCTTTTTTTTTTTTCTTGTATGCATAAATAAATAAAAATAAATCTTAAAAAAAATTGTAGTTTGATGAGATCAAGAGAAAAAAGTAGAATCCCTATTATTATTTGGAGCTCATGAATGCACTTCAAAACATTGTCCCCCAAAATGTTTAGAATCTTTTTATACTTGGTAGTTCTTAGCAATAGAGATTGGAAGTTTGAAGAAAAAATATCAATACATTGAGTCAGTAAGTGTTTATGACATTAAGATGTTATACTTATTTACAGCAGTAAATACTATAGTTAATGTGTAGAATGTATTCTATTTTTTTTTTTAAATAGAGGCATGTTTTATTTATTTATTTGTTTGTTTGTTTGTTTTGTTTATACATGCACTGGGTACAGTCAGAAGTGCAGGAGGGTGAGAGAATTCACCAGAGCCAGAGCGGGGAGCACAGCAGGCAGAAGGACCGAAGTACACTGCTGAGGGGAGCAGCGGGCGGCAGGAGAGGTCTGCGCGCCATGCGGGACCCTCCTCCTGTGGCCGGGGAGCAGCCGGGGATCGAACCGGCACCGCAGAGGCCGCGGGCAGCTTTGCAACCCAGTGCTCAACTGCTGCGCCACCATGGAAGCCCTGTGTAGAATGTATTCTAATTCAGCTTGAGGAACTTCTCAGAGGAAGTGTGATTGAGCTAATATTTGAAGGACTATGGGGAGGGGGAGGAGAGAAGAATACAGACAGAAAACCAAATGTATGCAAAAGCAGGAAGGTAGTAAAAAGTGTTAGAAAGGATTATAGTCACTCATGCGAGATGTTATATATCTATTTTTAGCTTCAAGTATGGGTAATTGCTCAGAAGATTCCCAAGGTTCTTTGTTCCAGAATTCTATAATGATGTATTGAGAAGTCTGCCATCCAATAAGGTGTTTACTATGTATAATTTCAAATGCAAATAGCTAAGCAATAGCAGAATTGAAAAATTTGCAAGGAACTGGTTTCAAACAAAATATACTACACACAGGCACAAAGATATGAGATACATTGATTTTTGGATTTTACCAATTCTCCCTTTATTTCTTTTTTTGCCCATAGAGGAACTGGGGTGTAGGCCAGAGGTGTGGGGGTGAAGAGGGGGTGAGAGGATTCACCCAAGACAGTGGGGAACAGAACAGGTGGAATTACTGAAAGACACTGCTAAGGGGTGCAGTGGGCTAGATAGGAGATGTCTGCCACACCATAGGTGGGTTAGCTCCCTGGCCGGAGGTACTTTGTAAGGTACCTGCTAATGAGGTACTTTATAAAGGACTACCACTTATTTTATTTTTATTGTTTTTTTTTTAAGATTTAGTTTATTTATTTATGGATATAAGAACTGGGGTGTAGGCCCGAGGTACAGAGGGTAAGAGAATTCACCAGAGAAGAGTGGAGAGCAGAATAGGTGAAGCTACTGAAATACACTGCTTAGGGGAGCAGTGGGAGAGACAGCAGAGGTCTGCTGTTCCATGTGGGTCAGCTCCCTGGCCATGAATGCAGGTTGCAATGGCTGCTGAGACTTTAACCCCTGTGCCACCAGGGAGGCCCTATTGTATTATTTTTTATTGAGGTAATGTAGGTAGGAATATGATGAAATGGGTAGATGAGGGAAGAGGAATAATTCCAAGAGGCTATTTTATGTATTTTTGTGGCAGCTTTGAGATATTAATTCATATAAGTTAAAATTATTTCAACAAACTATAAATCCTGTGTCATCTTACTTGATAATATATTCATATTTTGGTATACATTTTTCTATTCTTTTTTCCTTAATAGATCTTTCTTGGCTATAAGTACCCAACTTGAAGTAGTGAAATGATAGTACTAATTATAACAAAATTGCATTGATTAAAAAGAATGTGTTAGGGGGCCTGCCTGGTAGCACACGGGTTAAGCCTCAGTGCTATCACCTCTACAGCCTGATTTCCATCTCTGGCCAGAAAGCTAGCTAACCTACATATGCCACAGTAGATCTCTCCTGTCTAGTCCGCTGCTCTCCTTAGCAGTTTATTTCAGTAAACCCACTTGTTCAGCTCCCTACTCTGTCTCTGGCGAATCCTCTCCAGAATCCTACAACTCTGGCCTACACCCCAGTTCTTTTACTCAATAAAAAGCTGGGATGTAGGCCATTTGTGCAGGTGGGTGAGAGGATTCACCAGAGACAGAGTGGGGAGCAGAACAAGCAGATCTAGAGAAATACACTGCTGAGGGGAGCAGTGGGAGAGACAGGAGAGGTGTGTTGTGCCATGTGGGCTAGCTCCCTGCTGTGCCATGGCTGGGGATCAAACTCATGTTGCAGTGGCTGGGATAGCTTGATAGTGCTGAGACTTAACCCCTTGTGCCACGAGGGAGGCCCTTAAATAAATCTTTAAAAAAAAGAATGTGTGGGTACATACTTCGAGTTACAAAATAAGGAGATGTAATGTACAACATGGGAACTACGGTCAATAATATGATACTGCACATTTTACTTAAAGACACTGCTAAGGGGAGCAGTGTGCTAGATAGGAGATGTCTGCCACATAGGTGGGTTAGCTCCCTGGCCAGGGATTGAACTTAGGCCATAGAAGTTGCTAAGGAAAGATGGCAAATGGACTTATTGTGATCATCATTTTGCACTGTATACAACAATTGTTAAATTGTTATGTTGTACACCTCAAATTAATATGGTATTATCAATTACACTTCAAGAAAAAAAAAAGGAAAAAAAAAAGAATGTGTGTCAAAACGTACCCAAAACAGGGGTCTGCCTGGTAGGGCAGTGGTTAAAGTCTATCAAGCTATTGCACGACACAGCAGCATGAGTTCATTGCAGCTGTCCAGGGAGCTAACTCACATGGTGCTACAGACCTCCCCTGTCTCATCCACTGCTCCCCTCAGCAGTGTATTTCAGTAGTTCTGCCTGTTTTGCTCCCCACTCTGTCTCTGATGAATTCTCTTACCCCCCGCACCTCTGGCCTACACCCCAGTTCTTGTATGCATAAAGAAATACATCTTAAAAAAAAAAGAAAAAAATATACCCCAAACAGTTATTATATAGAAAATATCCCAAATATCTAGCAGAAGTATCTTTGGGAAAGTCTAATAAGAGGGTATTGGAGGCAAAGGGATATTTTAGTTTTATCATTAATTTCCTAATTAAAAAAAAAGATTCAGTACTTAAACTTCAGTAATTAAAACATTAATAAAAAAGAAATATTCAACATATAAAAAGAGTTGGCACATAAACCAAATAAATTTTGAAGAGGGTGGTCATGATAAATAAAAGTATAGAATTAACATGTCTATTCCTGGCAGGGGAGATAATTTCAGGAGGCTTGTCCCGCAAATATGGCCTCACTTTCACTCCCTCTACAATCATTCTCTGACTCATTGGTTTCCCAACAATATTACATCACATGATTGAGAAATGTTGGAATCATCAGAGTCTTCAGAAATTCAGGTAGCCAAACTGGTTTTTAAATTTTTTTTATTATCCTCCAGAAATGTGTTCCAGATTACCAATCTCTCCACGACTCTTAAAGGAAACACTGATTAGAGTCAACTTAACAAAAATAGGTTAAACACCTATATACTCTTTTTTTAAAGATTTATTTATTTATACATACAAGAATTGGAGTACAGGCCACAGGTATGGGGGCTGAGAGGATTCACCAGAGTCAGAATAGGGAACATAACAGGCAGACCGACTGAAATACACTGCTGAGGGGAACCCTGGGCAAGACAGGAGAGGTCTGCTGCACCATGTGGGTAGCTCCCTGGCCGGGGATTGAACTGGTGCTACAGTGATGGCAGCAGCAACAGTAGATAAAACATCAGGAACCTAAGATGACTGGGCTCCAGTAAACCACTGTGGCAGCAGCTGTTCCTACTGTAGGCAGGTGGCAAAATAAGCTCACATGGTTTTTCTCTATATAAGATCTGTACTAATCAGGATATAGTTGGCATTTCTGAAGCCAGCATTCTACACAAACACAGCAGCTACAAATGATATATGCCTTGGCTGAGATATAAACAAGTAATGAGAAAAGCTAAGAATGGGATGGCCTGTTCTAGCAATTCATTGTTCTCCTGGTGGCTCTATTTGATGAGCCTTCAAAAGTCACCCCTTGAACTTTGCAGGTCTCCATTAGGAGCTGCCACATACACTTTGCTCTCCTCTACTGTGTTGCAGTACTGTAAGAAATAGGGCACCTTAAGGGCCTTCCTTGTGGCGCAGGCGATTGAGCACCGCACTGTGAGGCTGTCCACAGCCTCTGCAGTGCCGATTCGATGCCAGCTGGGCGGCGAGAATCCCACAGGGGGAAGCAGACCTCTCCTGTCTCGCCCGCTGCTCCCCTCAGTAGTGTATTTCATCAGTCTGCTTGTTCTGTTCCCCATTCTGTCTCCAGTGAATCCTCTCACCCTCCTGCGCATCTAGTCTGTACACCAGTTCTTGTATAAATAAATAAATCTTAAAAAAAAAAATAGGGCATTTTTAGGCTGCCCTGGTTGACTGTACATACTGTTTTATTATACTGTTATATGGAGCTCTTTCCATGAAAAGTTTTTTTTATGTAAACTATTGACTTGGTAAAGAGAAAGAACAGGCTGAATTAGTTAAATATACAATTACAAAGGATGTTTTGGTAAAAAATAACTGAAATAATAAAAAAGCTACTTTCCTTATCTATAATTTTCATATACAAGATTGGTCTGATGGCCTCCCTGGTGGCGCAGCCGTTGAGCTCTGGGTTGCGAAGCTGCCCGCGACCTCTGCGGCGCCGGTTCGATCCCCGGCTGCTCCCCGGGCACCGGAGGAGGGTCCCACATGGCGCGCAGACCTCTCCTGCCGCCGCTGCTCCCCTCAGCGGTGTACTTCGGGCCTTCTGCCTGCTCTGCTCCCTTCTCTGGCTCTGGTGAATTCTCTCACCCTCCCTCACTTCTGACTGTACCCAGTGCATGTATAAACAAACAAACAAATAAACAAATAAATAAAACATGCCTCTTAAAAAAAAAAAAAGGATTGCTTTGAAAATAGAAAGCTTCTTTCTAAGTTCTTTTTTTTTTTTTTTTTGTGGGACCCTCGCCGGCGGCGGGGGAACGAATCTGCGCTGCAGCCCAGTGCTCAACCGCTGCGCCACCAGGGGAGGGCCAGCTTTTTTTTTTTTTTTTTAAATTTATTTAGGAGGCTTCCCTGGTGGCACAAGGTATTAAGACACAACCTACAAAGCTCACCACAGCCACTACAGCACAAGTTCGATCCCCACCCAGGGAGGTGACCCACATGGCGCAGCAGACCTCTCCTGCCTCGTCCGCTGCTCCCCTCAACAGTGTGTTTCAGTCGATCTGCCTGTTCTATTCTCCACTCTGTCTCTGTTGAATCCTCTCACCACTCCCCAAAACTCTGGCCTGTACCCCAGTTCTTATATGCATAAATAATCTTTTTTTTAAAGATTTATTTATTTATGCATACAAGAACTGGGTAGCCAGAGGTGTAGGGGGGTAAGGGGAGGAGTGAGAGGATTCACCAGAGAGAGTGGGAGCAGAAGAGTCAGATCTACTGAAATACACTGCTGAGGGGAACAGCAGGCAAGGCAAGAGAGGTCTGCCGTGCCATGTGGGTTGCTCCCTGGCTGGGGATCGAACTCATGCCACAGTGGCTGGTGATAGCTTGATAATGCTGTCTTTAACCCCTGCACCACCAGGGAGGCCCTTCTTCCTAAATTTTTTTTTTAAAGATTTATTTATTTATACAAGAACCGGGGTGGTCAGAGGTGTGGGAGGGTGAAAGAATTCACCAGAGACAGAATGGGTTGCAGAACAGGCAGACGGATAAAAGACACTGCTGAGGGGAGCAGCGGGCGAGGCAGGAGAGGTCTGCCGCGCCGTGCGGGTTTCTCCCTGGCCGGCCGGGAATCGAACTCACGCTGCAGAGGTTGCGGACAGCTTCACAGCGCAGCCCTCAAACTGCTGTGCCACCAAGGAGGCCTCCTTCTTCCTAAGTTTAATGACAAAAGGTGACTTATCTGAGATGCTACTCATATGTTTACCATAGAAAGATTAGTTTAACCCTTTGTATTCCAAACCATTTTACGATATTTTGATTTAATTTCTTGTGCCATTTCAAGATAAAACTTCAGGGAAACATGCACGTCTCAAAAAGTTGCGTTGAAATAACCTCAATTCCCCGTAATCACTAATAAATTGCAATGTCCCCTGAGAGGGGACATCCGAGTGATATGCTAGAATTCTGATGTCCCCTGAGAGGGGACAGTGGAGTGCAAAGGGTTAATAGTGGGTGCCACCCTAGACCCTTTAGATTTTTAAATATTTTATAGGTACTGTATTACTTTTCTAAAATCTGAAAAAAATTGATTCCAAAACATAACTAGCTCAAGGTATTCAAATAAAAAATTGTGAACCAGGCCTCCTTGCTGGCTTAGGGGTTAAGTCTTAGTGCTATCACCACTACTACCTAAGTTTGTTTGATCCTCAGCCAGGGAGCTAACCTACATGGTACAGCAGACCTCCAGTCTCACCCACTGTTCTAGCAGTGTATTTCAGTGAATCAGACTATTCTGCTCCCTACTGCCTCTGGTAATCCCCTCACCCCCATTCCCTGAACTTCTGGCCTATACCCCAGTTCTTCTACTAAATAAATTAAATAAATCTTAAAAAAAAAATTGTGAACCACTATTTTCCCAAACTCTTTTAATGTTGGCAATTTTATCAAACCCAAAGATGGTTCCAATAAATATTTCTGTCCCATTATAAGTCATGAGACTGAAATCTTCAGGAAAAGAGAAAAGACATATTAGAACAGCTGCAGGAAGAAACAGCTGCACAAAAAGTTGTAGGAATGACTTGTGAGCCTCACACGCAGGCATTCTGATTTACATGGTCTAGAGAGAAGCTTTTGCAAGTTTTCAAAAGCTCCGATAAGTGAAGTTAGAACTTTAAAAAAAAAGCCAATCCCAGGGCCTCCCCTGGTGGCGCAGCGGTTGAGCGCTGGGCTGCCAAGCTGCCCGCAGCCTCTGCAGTGCCGGTTGGTTCCCTGGTTGGTTCCCAGGCCACCAGCGAGGGTCCCACATGGCGAGCAGACCTCTCCTGCCACACCCACTGCTCCCCTCAGCAGTGTACTTCATCAGTCTGCCTGTTCTGTTCCTGGCTCTGTCTCTGGTGAATTCTCTCACCCTCCCATGTTTCTGACTGTACCCAGTGCTTGTATAAATAAATCTTTTACACCAGACCAAGAAAATCAGAATCTTTATGGGCGAAACACAGAGACAAATTTAATATACTTTTAAAAGATTTATTTTATTTATGCAAACAAGAGCTGGAGTATAGGCCAAATGTTTTGGAGGTGACAGATTCACCAGAGACAGAGTGGGGAGCAGAACTGGCAGACTAAAATACACTGCTGTGGGGAGCAGTGGGCGAGACAGGGGATGTCTGCTGTGCCATGTGAGTCTGCTCCATGCCTGGGAATTGAACTCATGCTGCAGTGGCTGCAGATAGTTTTATAGTGCTGAGACTTAACCTGTTGAGCCACCAGGGAGGCCCCTAGTTTAATTTTTTCTTTTAAAAGATACTCAGGTGATTCTAATACATATCAAAGTTGGAAATTAATGGTTGAGACCCAGAGTTGCTTGGCTTAAGAATTAAGGGTATAAACTGTTTTTTGTTTTTCCTTCCTAAACAAGTCATCACTGTAGTTATAAAAAAATCTAAGCTTTAACAAGTTCGATCCCCGGACAGGGAGCTACCCACATGGTGCAGCAGACCTCTCCTGTGTCTCATGCACTGCTCCCCTCAGCAGTGTATTTCAGTTGTTCTGCCTGTTCTATTCCCCATTTGTCTCTGGTGAATCCTCTCATCCCCCACACCTCTGGCCTGTACCCCTGTTCTTGTATGCATAAATGAATCGATCTTTAAAAAAAAAATCTCAGCTTCATTCACACTAATGACAGCCTAGCTGATAAAGGGAATCTCTCCCCAATTTCTCAAGAATTCAAAAGGGATAAAGGAGAAGAAATGCAAGAAAATCACATAAGAAATGTTTCAAAATATGTTTAGGAAAATAATCTTTTTAGCAAAAAAAAAAAAGGAACATATCAAACTTCTTTACATACAGTAAATCAAGAACAAATTGAAAAATAGAATTCACTTTAGTTCAGGCTCCAATGTAAAGGAGAGTACAACTTAAAAGGTACATAATAATAAGAAAGCATAGATTCTTCCAGTAAATTCTAGGACAACAAATTAAAATATTACAATAATTTTCCAGTGACTCTTTAGCTGCTCACAAGGCCAATATATAAACCAAGATTTTAAAAAAAAGCTTGAAAATACATTTAAAATATTAAACATCAGCTTGTTTCTGCTCAAAGCACAACTGAAATACATAAAAGGTGCACATTTTTAGATACACAATAAATTTCTTTCTTTTTTACTTAAAAATATTTTTTTGTGCTTTCTAATGGTCTTATGAAAAAAGATGTTTTCTTTTTCTTCACTAACCCTGAGGAAGAACAAATGTGGAGTAGTCCTCACAGCTCATTTAGGAACCAAACTCCACTTTCCACAATCGTAAATGGCATGTCATGGGAGAAGGTTAGGATAGTGTTCTTATTCAGGGTCCCGCACACATCTGTTTAAACCACTTAAAAATAGATACAGCATTTGGGTAACAGGTATAGCAGCATTTCTCTGCCCAAGTGAGAATCATTAAAACATCTTTACCACTTTTAATCCCTACACTGATTTACAAACAAAATAACTTATATATACCAAATAGGAACTTTTGGTTCAATGTATATCAATATAAAGGACATAAAGCTTCACTGTTCAAGAAGCTCAACCAGCAGGGGAAGAACATGGGTAAGTTTCTAAATACCCTTAGCTTTCACTAGAAAGATGTCAGCTTTTGCAAGGGAGTTGATGGGAGGAAAAATGTGGAATTCCATCACAATGAGAAGAGCTCACATTTCCAAGCAGCTGTTGGAAGTAAGAGGGCAATAAGAATAGAAGAAAACAGATTCACTGCATTGTTATCAAGAATGGGTTTCCCTGCTATGTGCTTCACCTCACTGATTGGGCTGTTGACCACCTTGCCTGTGCTTTTATCCAAACCTGGAGAAGAAAAGAGGCAAGTGAGTACAAAATTCAAATGACCTGGTTTTAAAAAAGAACATGTTAGTTTTTCTCCCCAAGGGAAGATAATATTTGAAAGGTTCTCAGCTATCTGTAAAATAACTTTAGTAATAATCTATACAGTGAGAGATATGGAACCCATGATTACAAAAGGCCTCTTTGAAATTTTTTTTTTTTTTTTAATAGAGGCATGCTTTATTTATTTGTTTGCTGGTTTGTTTGTTTTTTTGTTTATACATGCACTGGGTACAGTCAGAAGCGCGGGAGGGTGAGAGAATTCACCAGAGTCAGAGCGGGGAGCAGAGCAGGCAGAAGGACCGAAGTACACTGCTGAGGGGAGCATCGGGCGGCAGGAGAGGTCTGCGCGCCATGTGGGACCCTCCTCCGGTGGCCGGGGAGCAGCCGGGGATCGAACCGGCGCCGCAGAGGCCGCGGGCAGCTTCGCAACCCAGCGCTCAACCTCAAAAGGCCTCTTTGAATAAAGATAAAGGTATATAAAGGTACACTGGGTTTTCCAGTATACCTCAGCAGTGTTCTTTCAACACTGCTGGTGTTCCTTCAGAAGTAGAAGGGAGGAGCCTCCCTGGTGGTGCAAGGGGTTAAGACGCAACCTATGAAGCTGTCCGCAGCCTCTGAAGCACAAGTTCGATCCCCGGCTGGCCAGGGAGCAATCCACAGGGTGCAGCAGACCTCTCTTGACTCATCCGCTGCTCCCCTCAGCAGTGTATTTCGGTCAATCTGCCTGTTCTGTTCCCCACTCTGTCTCTGGTCAATCCTCTCACTCCCCACACCTCTGGCCTATATCCCAGCTCTTGTATGCATAAATAAATAAATCTTTAAAAAAAAAAAAAAGTAGAGGGGAGAACAGGAAAAGCAGGGGTAACATGAAACTGGCAGACCAAGCCTGCTTTCCCAGTGGTTCCCTTTCAAGACCAACCTGTGAAGCCCAAAGAGTAGGAAATAGGCTGGGGCCTCTGCAAATGGATACCCTGACTCTAGCATGATGCTGCACAAAGGAGGTATACAAAAATTTAATGAATGAATTCATCTTTTCCACATCAGACATTTTTTCCAATCCATTCAATAGGATCAGAAACTTCCCTAGTTAGAGCCCAGTTTCAAATAAAGCCTGGGTTCTTTAAAAAACATGTAGAATGTCTATAAGTGTGTATATGTACATAGAGAGAGTTAATGTCCCTTTAGTGTAAATTCAGATTGCTTCTTCCTTAGCACCTAGATGAGACTGATAAAGTTGAAAGAGCATTCTGACTGATGGAGAGGAGAGTGGAAAAGCAAATGGATTGTTCTGGGGCACAAGGCAAACTCCAGGCTCCCAATCTCTTCATGGTATGAAGCAAAGGAGGAAACATGGTTGACTAGCATGTGGAGCAAATACATATCTAAGAGAATCTATCAGTATAATGAAATGACAGGAGAGCCTCAACAGCAAATTTTGAATAAAACTGACTCGCCTATATACCTTGAGTGAGACTAAACACTCAGTGGGGTGGACAGCAAGCATGAGGTCGCAATAGAAAAGTTGGTCCTCGATATATAGTTTGATTAGTAGAATAATTGTTTCTCAAATGGAGAACAAATGGAAGGACGGACAACAAAGGGATCTGATCTCAAGTGATCTGCTTCCTGGGATTAAGTGAAGTCCTATTTGCAAACACATCTGCATCCTCCACTATCATATCCTCCTCATATAGCTTTTACTCATTGCTCAGCAGGACTAATTTTCTTCCAATTAATATATCACACACAAAAACAAGGAAAATCAATGATGCAAAAGAGACTATGCCTAATCATTCCTGGTCCTTCAGTTCCCTATGTCTTGGGATTATTTTCATTGTCACATCTTTTTTTCCTCCCTCTTCCATTTTTCCCATTTCTTTAGTACACACAAATAAGACGAAATAATAAGGTAATGTTCTTACCACTAAATTGCATTGTAGCTCCTAAATATGAGTCTACAATTGATCCAAGTAATCCAGCTAAACCCCCAAATGCAATAACTGGCCACTGGGGAGCAGAAATGTCTAAATCATTAACAAAAACCAATTGTGTGAGGAAGTACGCGATGCCTACACAGGTACCACCGAGGAGACTGGAGGCAAGGCCCACCATCGTAACCCCTCCATTGGTTCCTGAAAAAGAAACATGGATAAAATCATCTGGTTAATGATCAGCGACACATAAAGTCAAAGAAAGCCAAATAATTTTGGTACTTACCTAATCAAGGCTATTTTAAAGAATGAGCTCTTTTTGATGCAATCTAAAGATCGCCTACTTAGAAAACAATCTTTTCTCATCAGTAACTCCTGAGAGTCTAAACAATAAAATACAAGGCTTAGTGGAGTCAGCCTGCCTGATTTTCACCCTAGTTCTGCCACTTCCAAGCTATGTGTCTCCTCCAGTCTTAGTTTTCTTGTTAGTAAGATGGAAGTAATAAAAGGACCAATTCATATAATTATTAAGAGTACTAAAAAGGGGCGTCCCTGGTGGCGCAAGGGGTTAAGTTGCAACCTATGAAGCTATCTGCAGCCACTGAAGCCCAAGTTCTATACCTGGCCAGGGAGGTGACCCACATGGCGTAGCAGACCTCTCCTGCCTCGCCGGCTGCTCCACTTGGCAGTGTATTTCAGGCAATCTGCCTGTTCTGTTTCCTAGTCTGTCTCTGATGAATCTTCTTACTTCCTGCACCTCTGGCCTGTACCCCAGTTCTTGTGTGCATAAATAAATATTAAAAAAAAAGGAGTACTAAAAGGTAATCACTTTGCACACAATAGATACACAAATATGTCATACGATAATTTTGATGATGAGGGAGAGGTAGAAAAAAGGGTGTAGGAGAGGAAGGAGAAGAACAGGAGAAGCAGGAAAAGGAAAGGAGGGAGAAGGAAGAAGAGTAAAGAAGGGGTGGACCTCCCTAGTGGTGCAAGGGGTTAAGCACAGCACTATGAAGCTATCCGCAGCCTCTGCAACATGTGTTCGATCCCCAGCCAGCCAGGGAGCAAACCACATGGCGCAACAGACCTCTTCTGTCTCGCCTGCTGCTCCCCTCAGCAGTGTATTTCAGTCAGTCTGCCTATTCTGTTCCTGACCCTGTCTCTGGTGAATCTTTTTACCTCATGCACATCTGGCCTGTACCCCAGTTCTTGTATGCATAAATACATAAATCTTAAAAAAAAAAAAAGAGGAAAGGAGGAAGAGAAAGAGGGGGGAAGAAGTAGGAGAGGAGGAAAAGAAAGGTATGACAAAGACAAAGTACTAGCAGTACTTCTTTGATGATAATGTTAGGAAGGAATTGAAAGATGTTAAATCACTTACCACCTAAGAAGCCCCAAGTAATAAAGTCCCTTTTATTCCCTTCCTTTTCCTTTCCGTTGATATGTCTATGGGTCAACCTTTATGCCTTTGTGTATAGTTTCTGACTTGCTAACATTTCCTGCAAACATGATTTATTATCACCAATTTAATAGCCTACAGTAACTTTTAATTAAGGAAGCTTAATTAAAATTCTTTAAAGGTTCTTAAATAAAATACACAATAAATCAAGAGTGTTCTTGTCCTTATATGCTTTTCCAAAAAACTTAAAGACTTACCAACTGGAACTTTCTTCCAGGTTGTTATCAGCCTTGGTGGGCTTTTACTTAGAACGGTACCAATTTCAGAAGCCCATGTGTCTCCTGCAGAGCATGCCAGTGCAGCCAACAGAGACAAACACATCCAGGAAGCAGTGTGCTGCTTGGAAAAATCTATTGGTATTTCCCCAGGGCCATTTTCTATCATGTACAGCAGGGCGAGCTCTGTGGGCACAGCTCCATTACAGAATACCTGAACCCAGTTCCTTTGCCCACCTAGAAACAAACAAGTGAATGTAAAGGATAAGAAATGTTTTCTGGGCCTCCCTGGTGGCGCAAGGGGTTAAGACGCAACCTATGAAGCAATCCGCAGCCACTGCACACAAGTTTGATCCCTGGCCAGGGAGTTCCCCACATGGTGCAGCAGACCTCTCTTGACTTGCCCGCTACTCCCCTCAGCAGTGTATTTCAGTCAATCTGCCTGTTCTGTTCCCCACTCTGTCTCTGGTGAATCCTCTCACCACCACCCCTCACCCCCACCCCGCACCTCTGGCCTGTACTCGAGCTCTTGTATGCATAAATAAATAAATAAATCTTAAAAAAAGGTTTTCTCCTCAGAATAAAAATTATGCAGTTATAGAAACTTATATTGTGAAGTATGAAAACAAAACAAATATTTTTTTTTAAATGGCTAAAAGTGGTATGGTCTTTTGCCCACATTCAGTTTACATTTCTGAATTATCAAATACTTCTGTGCTTCTAAAATTTTGCTGCTACTAGCTACTGCGGTGAAGTAATGATAAACTAAATGAAACTAATACTTAAAGTAGTTCTTATATAAAATTTATTCAATAGTGTAAACATATTCTGATTAAAAGCTTATGCTATGTTAGGATGAAATAAAGGTTACTATTTTAAATAATGTCAAATGTAATTTATCTTACCTTCCTTATATTCTGAATCTAGACGTTTCTTTGTTTCTCCTTTCCATTTAGTAAGTTTTGAGGAAGTAACGAAAAACGTCAGCAAAGAGGTAAAAAAGCTGAAATTTGCAATGGTTAAGATAAATCCAACCACTAGCCCTGAAAGAAAAACATACAGACACAAATTATAATTAGTCTATATACTACTGCTATGGAAAAAAGAATTTTTTTTTAAAAAGTTATCTTCACATTATAACCTTAAATGTATATCTCTAGTTCACTTACATTTTCATCAAATAAGACATTATCAAACTGTAAACACTGTAAACGGAATGTCAGATTAAATTGAGAGGGATGTTTTGAACTACTATGAGGCAAATAGTAACCAATAGAGAGCAGGAGTGAAAATACCAATAACAGACAAAACAGACAAGCTGGCCACTGTGCCCATGTGACATGACTCCATGTTTTTGTTTTTCAGTATTTCTTTCCAGCATAACAAGAAGCTTTAGACTCACCCCCCCAATTACGCCTGAAAAGAGTCATTACTCTGAGCAGTTCTGACTCATTTTAGTGGGGAATGGACATAAGAGGTCAAGATTTTATCTCACCAGGTCTCCCTGGTGGTGCAAGGGGTTAAGTCTCAGCATTCTAAAGCAATCACCAGCCACTGCAGCAAGAGTTTGATCCCCAGCCAGGAAGCTGACCCATATGGCTCAACAGATCTCTCACCCACTGCTCCCCTCAGCAGTGTATTTCTGTAGATCCTCTGTTCTGCTCCCCACTGTGTCTGGCGATACACACGCGGGCACATATATCCATGCATATACACGTGCACATAGACACAAACAAACATTTCAGAAATCACAAGGCCACATAAATAATCCAATTTCAAACCACCTCTATAAGTTCTCTCATCACCTGTTTGCATTTCTACGCTTTTCTGTACCTGTATGCCTATTTCCTCAGTAAAAACACTGCCTTCCAGTAACAATGACAAATTCACTTATTTGCTCAATCCTCTAGTGTATCAAAACTGTTCTAAAACTGTTTCACCCATACTACAACCAAAATAAAATAGTTTAGGATTTTTTTGCAATTCTCCTTATCTTCTAAGCTGAGCCTGAAGGAATACAGCTAAATACTGTGTTCACAAATTACTTTTTCTTTTGTTCCTTTTGCTAGAGGGAAAGGATGTTCTGAGTTAATCCCATACAGGCTTTGTGGACCCCAGCCCCACTCCAGACCAGTCATCAAGACACTGGGAAAGACAAATCCCGTCACCACCAAAGGGAAGGTGGCTGGGACCTGAGGATGGAGTTAAGCAGCCAGGTTGGGTATAAAAACCAAACACGTGGGCCTTGGGGTCTCTCGCTCTGTCGCTCACCTCCTGGCTTCACGGTTCCAGCTCTCAGAATGCCATTTTGGGATTCCAGATTGGTGGGGGGGGGAATCGGGTAGGATGCATTTAAAACTTTGTCTCCCACTGAGTTGGACATTTCCTCATTTCCCCTTCCCTTGTAAATAAACCTTTTATTAACCTTTCCTGTGTGCCTGCAGTACAGCATTGATAAATCCTTTTAAGCCCGCGGGTGAGGACCCGCAGTCAGGTACCCCGTTTTGTATCGGGGCTGCCCTATAACACTTTCAGTATGATTTTATTGATAGTGTTAGGGGGAAATGATGTCCTGAGTTAATCCCATACAGGCTTTGTGGACCCCACCCCCACTCCAGACTAAAGCCATCAAGACTCTGGGAAAGACAAATCCCATCACCACCAAGGGAGGGTGGCTGGGACCTGAGGGTGGAGTTGGGCAGCCAGGTTGGATATAAAAACCAGACACGTGGGCCTTGGGGTCTCTCTGGCTATCGCTCGCCTCCCGGCTTCACTGCTCCTGGCTGGCGGCCAGCTCTCAGAGCGCCATTTTGGGATTCCTGATGGGCGGACTGGGTAGGACTCATTTAAAACTTTGTCTCCCACTTTTCTCCCAGAGCTGTACATTTCCTCATTTCCCCTTCCCTTGTAAATAAACCTTTTATTAACCTTTCGCGTGTGCCTGCAGTAGAGCATTGATAAGTCCTTTTAAGCGTGCGGGTGAGGACCCACAGTCAGGCACCCCGTTTTGTATCGGGGTTGCTCTACAACAATAGCATTCATTTAAAAAACAAATGGGGTTATTTGTTTTAGTCTGCTTTCAGTTTTAGATATCCCCTTTCCCACCTTTCATTGACTTTTATTTCTTAAATTATATAGAACACTAGCATTCTGTGCAAAAAGGTAGAGTCATTTTTTTTTTCATATACCTTCTGCTCCTCCTTGTACATTTTGCCCTCCCTCCATTCTTTGTAGGTGTTCATTTTTTTCCCAGCTTATCATTCCTGTGTTTCTTTTTATAAAGATAAGCAAATATATGCATGTTTTCTTATTTTCTCTTCTGCCTTACACAGAAGGTAGCCATTTCTATGTAGCCTTTTGAAATGTAAGATCTACTTTTGGTAATAATTTTATAGTCCTCCTTTCAGGGGATGCACTAACCTCCTGATGAGCTGATGAGTGCACACACAGCCCCCCCATAAAACTTTCACTGCCCTGTGCCTGAGGCACCAGAGATAAGTTCACAGCAATAAAGAATTCCAGCAAACCCACCCCTGGCTGTAAATACTCCCAGCAGATTCCCTCCAGCAGTAGAGACCCGCCCTCCTCCCCCCACCCAATCCAAAAATTCCAACAGTAGCCTGACCCTATAGTTTTTCCCAATCTCAAAGCCCTGCTTTCATTCACTCTGCTGGAGTCGAGAGTCGCCCCTCATGGACTAAAGTCTGCTTTAGTCTGATATTCTTGGCATCCTTTCTTTTCTTTTTTTTTTTTAAACTCTCTTTTTTTTTTGGATTTATTTTTATTTATTTACACAAGCACTGGCTAAGTCAGAAGCGCGGGAGGGTAAGAGAATTCACCAGAGCCAGAGCGGCTGGGGATCGAGCCCGCGCTGTAGAGGCTGCGGGCAGCTTCGCAACCCAGCGCTCAACCGCTGCGCCACCTGGGAGGCCCGGCATCCTTTCTTTTCTAACATCTGCTATTGCGCACACAGATCTGTGGCATCCAAGAAATTTACCTTCTGCTTTGAGTTCAAACTTGAATCTAAACACAGTATTGGGATCTGATAAAAACCCAGTTCTGACCCTGTAGGATTGGGAACCAGCTTCCTAGGAAGAATCTGATAACCAAACCAAGGAAATCTTATCTAATGTGACCCTAAGCAGGCCGGCTGCTGTTCTTTCTTTCTTTCTTTCTTTTTAAATTTTTTGGGAAAGCATTTTATTTTATATTTATTTATTTTTCAAAATTTATTTTTATTTATTTATGTATACAAGAACTGGGATATAAGGCAGAGGTGTGTGTGTGTGGCAGGGGGGTAGGGTGTGTGTGACAGGATTCACCAGAGACAGTGGGGAGCAGAACAGGGAGATTTACTGATATATACTGCTGAGGGGAGCACTGGTGAGACAGAAGATGTCTGCTTTGCTATGTGGGTTGCTCCCTGGCCAGTGATGGAACTCATGCTGCAGTGGCTACGGATTGCTTCATAGTGCTGCAACTTAATGCCCTGTGCTACCAGGAAGGCCCTGAATTCAGGAAACTTTAGTGTGCGTTTCCTGTAGCCCAGCCTAAGGGTGTTCATTTCTACAGCTGGTTTAACAATTATATAAATCATTTCTACACCCACCTCCAGTTTCTGGTCTTATGACACCTTCATCCCAAATTTTCTACTCTTAGCCTCCATCAATGAAGGCTACAAGAACTGGAGGTCCTTTTATCTACAGTAACTTAACCAAAGTCAACATAAGAAAAAATAGATAAGCTTCAATCCTATCAATTACTGTATAAGGGAGGGGACTTTGACCTGTGGGCTTTCATTACTGTTTCTCAGACTTCGTAGTCACCAAAGAAACCTTCTAATTATAATCTGACTTCTCAAGTGGCCTGACTACAAAAATAGAGAATGCCTGAGCAGGACACTTGCATTCCATTAAGCCTGGTGGTTCTACATTTTACCAGATTAATAAAGTGGCATTCCAGATCTTATATCATTTCCTTGAGACAATTAGCAGCTTAAGCTGGTTTTCTTGGGATCTGATCAACTGTGGGTACCTGATATTTAGGAATATCAGCTATTTTAGAGAGATTCAACACCAGACCTAAACAATGGTGACAAAATAAGTTAAGGTCACCCTCCTGAGTACACGTGCAACATGACAACACCTGCTTGCTCTGCACCTGTTTCACTTACAGCATCTGCTGCTGAGATTAAAACCTCAAACCCGGGCCTCCCTGGTGGCTCAAGGGGTTAAGATACAACCTATGAAGCAATCCGCAGCCACTGCAGCGCGAGTTTGATCCCCGGTCAGGGAGCTACCCACGTGGTATTGCAGACCTCCCCTGACTTGCCCACTGCTCCCCTCAGCAGTGTATTTCAGTCAGTCTGCCTGTTCTGTTCCCCACTCTGTCTCTGGTGAATCCTTTTACCTTCCTGGACCTCTACCCACTGCACCTCTGGCCTGTACCCCAGTTCTTGTATGCATAAATAAATAAATCTTAAAAAAAAAGTTCTAAAGTCAAATCAGATTGTGTTATCCCCAGATTTTTTAGCAGTGTGATAGACAAAGAAAGGAGAAGTTCCAGGTTCCCTGACCCACCCAAGAAAGAGTAGAACTGAGTTTTGTAGAAAAGCTAAAAACAGACTGGGCGTATACTTGGGAGAGGACTAAGGAAGAAAGACAACTTGGAGGAGGCATGTGAAGCAGAAATATAGATGAAGAAGAAGCCCTGCGTGCTTCTCGGCCTTGGACTTGCATCAGGACTTGGGGGACATAACAGGAGACACTTGAAAGAGATGTGGGTGAGAGACCTGTGGGGAGGCTGACAATGGCAGCCTTTATCTAGACTTGGGTTTTGATTTGTTCTTTACCTTTCATACTTGGCTGGCCTCTTCTGATCTTTCCTATGGTTCCCTGCCAGAGAACCTGTGGCTTAGTCTTGGGGCAAGGCTTTGGTTGTCAGTAGTCCCACTTTGGGCCAATCTTGTTTGGCTGGAGATTTACCTACAAAGGGATGGGTGGCTTTGTGTTTTTTTTTGGGGAAACTTTCAACTCTCTTCTCTTTTATACACTAATTGTATTAAAATTACTTTCTACTAAAGGTCTTAAGCACTAAGAGTATGTTTCTCTTTTTATACAGCAGATGGCAGAAACCATTTAGAGCATGCAGGTTTGGGGTCCTGGGGTGCATCTCAATTTAGCCTGCTAACAGTTTGAGGCAGGAGGATTCCAACTAGTTTGGACTAAAAAACTTTTTTTTTTTTTTTAAAGATTTATTTATTTATGCATATAAGAACTGGGGTACAGGCCAGAGGTGCAAATGGTGAGAGGAGTCACTAGAGACAGAGTGGGGAACAGAACAGACAGATCTACCGAAATACACTGCTGAGGCGAGGAGCGGGTGAGACAGGAGAGGTCTGCTGCACCATGTGGGTTGCTCCCTGGCCAGGGATCGAACTCGCGCTGCAGAGGCTGCTGATAGCTTCACAGGTTGCGACTTAACTCCTTGCACCACCAGGGAGGCCCTGGACTAAAAATCTTTATTGTGCCCCAGAAGCCCCTATAATACCTGACCCTTGCCTATTGCCTCAAAATTCATCTCTCACTTTTCCATTCTTTACAATGTTCCTATCAAATGATACTTATTCTCATACCTGGGCAAACCAATCTTGTATATGTCAGTGACTTTGCACTTGTTATTCTGTCAGCTACAACATGCTTCTCGTTACTGACTTCTTCAGGTTCCAGTTCAAAATTACCTCTACAGAGAAGTGTTATTACAGGACAGGTAGAAGGGCACCCAGAACCCCCAAACCTGCCTGCTCTAAATAGGTTATGCCATCCACCGCATTAACACAAAACATACAGACCTTTAATGGAAAGGAGCTTTAATACAATTAGTATGTAACAAAGAAAAGACAAAGAATATAGTTTCTAAATAGGTTATGCCATCCACTGCATTAACCCAAAACATACAGACCTTTAATGGAAAGGAGCTTTAATACAATTAGTATGTAACAAAGAAAAGACAAAGAATATAGTTTCCAAATCAAGCACCCAAAGTTACCCATCCCCTTGTTGGCAAGTGTCTAGCCAAACAGGGTTGGACCAAAGCAAGGCCCGAAAGTCTCCCATAAGTCTAAAGCACCTTCTGGCAGGGACCCACAGAAAAGAATCAGAAGCAGTCAAACGAGTCTGGGAGGAAAAGAGCAAAATCAAAACAAAGATAAAAGCTGCAATTGCTAACCTCCCCACTGGTCTCTCACCCACATCTGTTTCAAGCAGCAAGCAGCAAGTGCAACTTTTTCACATGTCTCTCTGCTCCTTGTGCCTCCTCCAGGTCTCCTTCTGGCTCTTCATCCTGCTTCCTTCCTTCCCCAGTCTCCACTCCAGCTTCTCCTCCCTGCTCAGCTCCCCTCTTCTTTGGGTGGAGCAGGGAACCTGGAACCCCCCCCTTTTCCTGGTGACCGTCCTGTTACATTATGTCTGATCCCACCTACAGAAAAATGCCCCACGTCGCCCCAATATATGTACTTTATTTTCTTTAATATTGCTTACATCAGGGGCTTCCGTGGTGGTGCAAGGGGTTAAGACGTAACCTATGAAGCAATCCGCATCTCTGCAGCAAGAGTTTGATCCCCGGCCAGCCAGGGAGCAACCCACATGGCGCAGCAGACCTCTCCTGACTCACCCGCTGCTCCCCTCAGCAGTGTATTTCAGTCAGTCTGCCTGTTCTGTTCCCTAGTCTATCTCTGGTGAATCCACTCAACCCCCACACCTCTGGCCTGTACCCCAGTTCTTAAAAAAAATATTGCTTACATCATTACATGAAAAATTTTATGAATTTTGTTTATCTTCAATCTGTCCTAAGGAATGAAAGTTCCATAAAAACAGAAATCTTGGACTTCCCCGGTGGCGCAGCGGTTGAACGCTGGGTTGCGAAGCTGCCCGAGGCCTCTGCAGCACCGATTCGATCCCCAGCTGCTCCCCGGCCACCGGAGGAGGGTCTCGCATGGCGTGCAGACCTCTCCTGCTGCCCGATGCTCCCCTCAGCAGTGTACTTCGGTCCTTCTGCCTGCTCTGCTCCCTGCTCTGCTCCCCGCTCTGGCTCTGGTGAACTCTCTCACCCTCCCATGCTTCTGACTGTACCCAGTGCTTGTATAAATAAATAAATAAATAAATCTTTAAAAACAAACAAACAAACAAACAAAACCAACTGAAATCTTATCCCCATTTTCTAGAAGAGTGACACATAGCAAGTACTCAATAAATATTTGTTAAAAGAATAAATAAATGGTCTGTTTCCAATTCAGTTCTTTTTTTTTTAAAGATTTATTTATTTATGCATATAAGAACTGGGGTGCAGGTCAGAGGTGTGGGGGTGGGAGGATTCACCAGAGACACAGTGGGAAACACAACAGGCGGACTGACTGAAATATACTGCTGAGGGGAACAGTGGGAAAAACAGGAGAGGTTTGCTGCAACATGTGGGTAGCTCCCTGCTGGCTAGGGATTGAACTCGGGATCAAACTCGTGTTGCAGAGGCTGCAGATAGCTTCACAGTGCTGTATTTAACACCTTGCACCAACAGGGAGTCTCTCCAATTCAGTTCTTAAAAGTGAATCTGGTTTGGATACTTAATTTGGATTGCTCTGCTTGAGGCCACTAACAGCAAGTTATTCTTTCCAAAGTTTCCACTTTTTACACCTACCAGGAGTGCACCAATGTTTCAAATAACATGTTATTTATTTTTAAAGATTTATTTTATTTATTTATGCATATAAGAGCTGGGTGCAGGCTAGAGGTGTGGGGAGGTGAGAAAATTCACCAGAAACAGAGTGGGGAGTAGTACAGGTGGACTGACTGAATTACACTGCCGAGGGGAGCAGTGGGCAAGACAGGAGAGGCCTGCTGTGCAATGTGGATAGCTCCCTGGCAGGGGATCGAACAGGTGTTGCAGTGGCTGCCTATAGCTTGATAGTGCTGAGACTGAACCCCTTGTGCCACCAGGGAGGCCCATAACATATTATTTAATCCAACTAAAACAGCAGAATAAGCAAGTCCTCAAAAATATATTCTATTCATGTACTAGATATCAATTACAAAGTTAAAACTGTATGTTACATTAAACCATGTATCAATCTCTGAAATTTGAGTGAATAGGAATGCTGAGCTACACCTAACTTTATCATTTATTTATAGTCTCTCATTTATATATATATATATATATATATATATATATATATATATATATATATATATATGTGTAAAGAATTTTTAGGGCCTCCCTGGTGGTGCAGGGGTTAAAATCTCAGTGCTATCAAGCTATCTCCAGTCAAATGAAGCAAGAGTTTGATGCCCTGCCAGGGAGCTAATCCACACAGAATAGCAGATCTTGCTGCTCTCCTCAGCAGTGTATTTCAGTGGATCCACCTGTTTTGCTCTCCACTCTGTCTCTGGAGAATACTTTCACTCCCCACACCTCAGTTCTTACATGCATAAATATATAAGTATATTTATGCATAAATAAAAATAAATATTAAAATTTATTTTATTTATTTATGCATAGATAAGTAAAAGTAAATCTTAATAAAAACAAAGCTTTAGGGCCTCCCCTGGTGGCGCAGGCAGTTGAGCGCTACACTGTGAAGCTGTCTGCAGCCTCTGCAGTGCCGGTTCAATCCCAGCTGGCCTCGTAGCAACCCATATGGCACAGCAGACCTCTCCTGTCATGCCCCCTGCTCCCCTCAGCAGTGTATTTCGTCAGTCTGCCTGTTCTGTTCCCCACTCTATCTCTAGAGTGACAGAAAACAAATCTTTAAAAATAAATAAATAAATCTTTAAAAAAAAAAAACAAACAAAAAAACCTTTAAAATTTTTATTTTTGTTTATTTAAGCATATAAGAACTGGTGTATAGGCCCGAGGTGTTGGGGGTGAGAGGATTCACCAGAGACAGAGTGGGGAATACAGGAAGAGCCACTGAAATACACTGCTGAGGGGAGTAGCAGGTGAGACAGGAGAGGTCTGCTGCATTATGTGGGTCAGCTCCCTGGCCAGGGATCAAACCCATGCTGCAGTGGCTTGACAGTACTGAGACTTCAAACCCTGCGCCACTCGGGAGGCCCCTATAGTCTCATATATTTAGAATTTAGAAAATATTTGTTTAAATGACATAAACAAACACTTATTCTACAGCTAAACATTCAAAATAAAAACATACCTCCTAAAGCTCCACTGTGATCTAGACTTTTCTTCATAAACCCTTTACAGACGATCAAAACAGGAACAACAACAGAGAACAGCCAACGCCAAGGAGAGATAGGGCGTAAAATACCTGAAAAATAATAAATGGAGAACATGAATTGTGCCACACCTACACAGGTTAGTTTTCGTTGTAAGCTTTGATAACTACACTCCAATAAAATACTATCATAAGAAGAGAAACTGACATGGAGTCACCGAAATAAAACACATTGAGACAATATATTTTCAGAGGAACACTCCTAGTGGGGAATGAGCAAGTAAGTCCTGTGTATGTTTTGAGAGTCATTTACAACTAATTCTAATAATGGGCATTTCATCCATTTTTGGATTTAAAAATAATCTCGGGGCTCCTTGGTGGCACAAGGGATTAAGCACCCCACTGTGAAGCAATCCACAGCCTCTGTCACATGAGTTTGATCCCTGGCCAGCCAGGGAGATACCCACTTGGTGCAGCAGACCTCTCCTGACTCACCCGCTGCTCCCCTCAGCAGTGTATTTCAGTTAGTCTGTCTATTCTGTTCCCCACTCTGTCTCTCATGAGTCCTCTTACTCCCTGCATCTCTGGCCTGTACCCAAGTGCTTGTATGCATAAACAAATAAAAATCTTAAAACATAAATAAAAATAATCTCTGCTTCCCCATTTTTTGGAACGGAGGCACATATTGAATCTTAGGGTTCAAATGAATGAATTCATAGAATAAATTCTTTTATTACAGGATTAAATTATTCCTGTCTCTTCTTTTCAAAGAGTTTTTAAAGAAATTTTTTAAGACAGCATTCTCACAGGCTGACACACCTTAGGACTCAATGGTTAGCAACTGATTTTTCCAAAGGTGAATCCAGCTTACAGATATTTTTGTTTGGCTAACACAGAGTTTTCTTTCTTTCTTTTTTTTTTTTAAAGACTTATTTATTTATGCATACAAAAAACTGGGGACAGGCCAGAGGTGTTGGGGGGTGGGGTGGTGGTGAGAGGATTCACCAGAAACAGATAGGGAGCAGAACAGGCATATTGACTGAAATACACTGCTGAGGGGAGCAGCAGGTCCAGGAAAGGTCTGCTGCGCCAAGTGGGTCAGCTCCCTGGCAGGGGTTTGCACCCATGCCCAGTGGCTGGTGATAGCTTGATAGCTTGATGGTGCTGAGACTTTATCCCCTGAGCCACCAGGAAGGCCCAAAGTCCAGATTTTTAGTTTGTTTTTAAGACAGGAAATTCAGGTCCATGTGGCAGAACTGACCTTAGATAAAAACTGGCCTCCTCCTTTTGTCAGGTCATGTTTTTCTGTCTTAAAAGTCCTGGGGCCTCCCTGGTGGTGCAAGGGGTTGAGATGTAACCTATGAAGCTGACTGCAGTGTCCGCAGCACTAGTCGAGCCCCCGCCATGGAGCTACTCACATGGTGCAGCAGACCTCTCCTGGGTCACCTGCTGTTCCCCTCAGCCATGCATTTCAGTCGGTCTGCCTATTCTGCTCTCCACTCTGTCTCTGGTGAATCCTCTCACCCTCCAGCACATCTGGCCTGTACCCCAGTTCTTGTATACAAAAATAAATCTTAAAAAGGGCCTCCCAGGTGGCGCAGCAGTTGAGCGCTGGGTGGCGAAGCTGCCCGCAGCCTCTGTAGCGCGGGTTCGATCCCCGGCCACCGGCGAGGGTCCTGCATGGCGCGGCAGACCTCTCCTGCTGCCCACTACTCCCCTCAGCAGTGTATATTATCGGTCTGCCTGTTCTGTTCCCTGCTCTGGCTCTAGTGAATTCTCTCACCCTCCTGTGCTTCTGACTGTACCCAGTGCTTGTATAAATAAACATATCGCTTCTCGGCCTTTTGGCTAAGATCAAGTGTATAAATAAACCAAAAAAAAATCTTAAAAAAAAAAGTTTGATGCACACATTTTAAAAAAAATCTTAAAAAAAAAGTCTAAATATGAGGGGAAAAAAAGTCTCCACCATTCTGACAGGCTCCTGAACAGTAAGGCTCGCTGATTATAGTAAACAAAAATGTAAACTATTGTTTGTGTTCGTTTCTATCAAAAATGGATAATGAAAGACAAAGAGGGTCAAATGTTCAACAAAAAATGGGAAAATCCTGGGTCTCCCCTGGTGGCACAGCAATTGAGCACTGGGCTGCGAAGCTGCCTGCAGCCTCTACAGTGCCAGTTCCATCCGGCCACCAGCGAGGGTCCCACATGGTGCTCGACCTCTCCTGCTGCCCCCGCTGCTCCTCTCAGCAGTGTATTTCATCACTCTGCCTTTCATCACTCTTTTCCCTGCTCTGGCTCTGGTGAATTCTCTCACCCTCCCTGGCTTCTGACGGTATCTGGTGCTTGTATAAATAAAATAAATCTTTAAAAAAAAGAAAGAAAGGGAAAATCCTACTTCTGGAAGAGAAAACTATTCCCATGTTTGACATGCAAGGACATGGACAGCTTCATATATCTGCAATAGGTACCAGGCCCAAGGGGACATTTCAATTTACAAATGTTGGTTTATGATACTTATTTCAAGGCATAGTTACTATTGGCAGTAAGAAGAATCTTCTCCTGCTATACCTCTCTTCCTCAAACTCTGAAGGCTACTGTGAATCTTTATGAATGAACAGTCCTGAAAGCTATACTCTGGAGAACACCAGCAAGGATTCACACGAGTCTTGGCAAGGACTAAGGCCTGAAATTGTAATCACTTATGATACAGCCACTTATAAGAGTTTACTTTCTCATTCTACTTTGCATGTTTTCTTTGGAATGGAACAATATTCTGTTTTTATAGTAGTAAGTAAGCCTGTGTTAAGGTGTAGTGGTCTAAAGTGGCTTGAAAACTTGAAATCTGAGTCCAGAAGACTTTACATGTATGCAAAATCACTTAAGGTTTTAAAAGTCTCTTATCTGTTTGAAGAGATCAAACAGTAGTAGACAAATCCTCCAAATCTCCAAATGTAAATATTACACCACCTTTCATTTTTACTCTTCTTTTCACAGGACACCAGAAACTGAAAAAATCATGTTAGTTATATACCATGGAATATTACTCAGCATTCAAAAAAGATAAACACATGCAATTTGCAGCAACATGGATGGCGCTGGAAGGGATCATGCTCAGCGAAATAAGCCAGAAAGAAAAAGAAAAATACCGATGGTCTCACTCATAGCAGGAATCTAGAAAACTTAAATAAGGGACCAGGAAAATGAATAACTATAAGAAAGTGAAAATCAAAATCAACAAAAAACTATGAACCAGAGACACTTTTAGGGGGCGGGGGTGGGAGGGAGGGATTGGGGTCAGAATGGGGGGGCTGCAATTGTATGGGGAATATAACAATAAAATTTATTAAAAAAAAAAAAAAAAAAAAAAAAATCATGTTAGTATATTCTTATTAAAAGCAAGACTTGTGAAACGGTTTCATCTCACTTATTTTTAACCAAGAAGATGTAATAACCACAAAAAATATTAAAATATTTTGATAGTTACAAGATTAGCAGCATTTATAAACTGTCTTAAACATTTTAGGCACTGTTCATCTTCTCATGTCAGTAAATTAAATCCAGCCTGTGGAAACCAAATAAACACGTTATCACCATCCACAGGACACGAATATTGGAGTCCACAACGGTACAATTTTAAATTTCAACGACTTGATTACAGGAAAAACAACTTAGAACTTTCACACTTACCATAATAGGTGCTTGCAGTCATAGACATAATCCAGAAACCTAAAGAAATGCAAATGACCAGGCTCAATATAACTATGTTACTAATCATCTTTATATATTTTTTGCATATACTGTCTTCAAGATCTGACATGGATATTAAGGCTATGAGCACCTAGTGTTGAAATCTATAACGTTTCTCAGAAAAATCAAGTCATTTAAAGGCCCGATAAAACACTCGTTGATGGGCGCACATAAATGCCATCCTCCAGTGACTCGAAAAAAAAAAAATGACAGAAATCCAAACTATTTCTGGAAAAGGGGGGTTGGCGGGGCTCACGGTCTGGAGGGCGAGGGCAACACCCCCCCGAAACAGCAGAGCGCACCCCTCGAGCGCCCGCCCCTAGGCCGCGGCCACTGCACCCGGAAGCCGCGTCCGGGGAAGGGAAAAGCGACGTCACGCGGCCAATCGGCGGCCCCGGCGCGATGAGCTCCGCCCCCGCGCCCGCCTACGCGCCGCCGCCACCCGGCCCAGGCCCAGGGGCAGGGCGGGGACCCCGAGGCCGGCGCTGGGGAGTGCGGTCGCTTCTGGAGCGCTGCCGGCGCCTCCCGGGATTTCAGGCCCAGCCGGCCAAGCCTCTCCCCGAGGCTCAGCGAGCGGTCGCGCGAGTGTGCGCCTCCTGCGGCTCGCCTCCTACGCGCCTGCGCCGGGGCGGCCGGCTTGGGGGGTGGGGGGGGAATCCCCCTCAGGTGGGCGTGTCCAGGGCGGATGCCAGTCCGGGAGGCCCTGGCGCGACCGTGCGGGAAGGGCTGGCCGCTGGGCACCGCGGGTGTGTGCGGCTTCTGCAGCTGGAAGCTGAGGTCCTTGCGTTTGAGGGCAAGCCTAAGCTGAAGAGTGAAACCACCATCAGGGGAGTGTTAGAATAAAGGAATTTAGACCTGGGAAGTCCAAGTTCAGTCGTAATATTTGAATGCTTTTTCATCTATGGAGAGTGCGTGCTATCTAATGTGATTTTTTTAGGGGACTGAGGATATACCTGTTGTGTTGTAGAGGTGGAATTTCATGGCTTAGGACATCATTTTTATTTTTTATTTATTTTTTAAAGATTTATTTATTTGTTTATACAAGCACTGGGTATAGTCAGAAGCGCGGGAGGGTGAGAGAATTCACCAGAGCCAGAGCGGGGAGCAGAGCAGGCAGAAGGACCAAAGTACACTGCTGAGGGGAGCAGCGGGCGGCAGGAGAGGTCTGCGTGCCATGTGGGACCCTTGAACCGGCGCTGCAAAGGTTGCAGGGCAGCTTCGCAGCCCAGCGCTTAACCGCTGCGCCACCATGGGAGGCCCCTTAGGACATGATTTTTAAAAAAAAAAAAAAATTTTAAGATTTATTTATGCATATAAGAACTGGGGTGCAGGCCAGAGGTGGGCGAGGTGAGATGATTCAACAGAGACAGAGTGGGGAACAGAGCAGGCAGAATGAGTGAAACACACTGCAGAAGGGAGCAGCGGGCAAGTCAGTAGAGGTCTGCTGCGCCATGTGGGTAGCTCCCTGGCCGGGGATCAAACTTGTGCTGCAGTGGATATGGATAGCTTCATAGGTTGCGTCTTAAGCCCTTGCGCCACCAGGGAGAGGACGTCTTTTTTTTTTTTTAAGATTTATTTATGCATACAAGAACTGGGGTGTAAGCCAGAGGTGGTTGGGGTGTGTGTGTGTGTGTGTGTGTGTGTGTGTGTGTGTGTGTGTGTAAGTGGGGATCAGAACAGGCAGATCTTATACTGAAATACACTGCTGAGGGGAGCAGCAGACAAGACAGGAGAGGTCCGCTGCGCCATGTGGGTTGCTCCCGGACCAGCCAGGGATTGAACTCGTGCTGCAGAGGCTGTTGATAGCTTGAAAGTGCTGTCTTTAACCCCTGAGCCACCAGGCAGGCCCTAGGACATCATTTTGAACAGTACTGTTTAGTTATCTATTATGTGCTAGACACCACTGATTGCTAGAGGCGTAAAGATAAAATTAAACATAGCACCTGCTATTGGACTCTCAAATAGTCATTGTCATGACACCCCTTGCATTATAGAAACATCTGTGTCCACACTGCTCAGATGTAAAGTGTGAATGTGCATTCAACCAGTTCATTTAAAAAGCAGAATGTCTTGTTAAAAATGACCATTAAAAATCCAAGTCTTGTGGCCGATTTCACATCTTAATTGAAATTAACTTTTGTTTACCTGGGTTAACAGTAACTAATTGACTATTACATTATATTTCTGAATTTCTTCAGTTAATTACTAACGTTGTAAAAAGAGGAAGAAAGCTTCAGGCATAGTACCCGAATGTGTTTTTAAATCATTAAGAGAAATTACCTTTTTTTAAATTTTTTAAAAAAATTATTTATTTATGCAAGATCGGGGGTACAGACCAGATACTTGGGAGGGTGAGAGGATTCACCAGAGACAGAGCCAAAAACAGAACAGGCAGACCGATAAAATACATTGCTGAGGGGAGCAGCAAGCGAGACAAGAGAGGTCTGCCACGCCATGTGGGATTCTTGCAGGCCGGCCGGGATCGAACCCGCTCTGCAGAGGCTGTGGACAGCTTCACAGTGTGGCGCTCAACCATTGCGCCACCAGGGAGGCCCAAGAAATTACTTTTTAAAAACTCACTATTTTAAAATGCAAAAGCATGCTTAGACAATTTACACCTTTTTCTTTGGTGAGCCATCTAATTAACTAGTTAGCTGTGAACCAAATCTGTGAGGTAGGGCTAAATAGTAGTCACATTCTCTTAACTAGATTACAAGCTTGTGAAGTCTTGCAGAAATTCATTATGTGCCCAATGTATTTTGGGCTCAGTTTCTTAAACAGTTAAATTACCTCAAAAAGTTGACTGGCCAATATCAGTGATATCCCACAATTGGGCTGATTTTTATTAAAAGCTATTATTATTGTGATTTCATAGTGACTTTGTTTTTGTCTGCATAGATAAAGTTTTGAACTGGTCTTGCTACCCTCCCTCCCCCATTTCATTATAGTCACTGGGTGTTCTGTGAGATTTTTTTGGTCCAACAGGAAACCACAGCTGTATCAGACCTCTGCCAACAACACTTAAGTCAAGCTGTGCCAGGGTATCGTGGATGTCAGACATGATTTTCTCATGATTATGGCCAAAAAAATGCATATTAATCAGTGGGTTAATTATTGATGCTGTTCTCCATAAACAAGTTACTTCAGTTTAGGCTGAAATAATCTGGGGGGATTAATGTATTTAAAATATATTTCCTTAAACATGATTTTATAGACCCATAATTTTTATAGATTTTGACAGTTAAAATTTTCAAGTTTTAAAAAGAAACTTTTTCCTTAAGGCTTTTTTTTTTTTTTTTAAATTTTTTTTTTTTTTTAATGGGGGCATGTTTTTTTTTATTTATTTGTTTGTTTGTTTGTTTGTTTTGTTTATACAAGCACTGGGTACAGTCAGAAGCGCGGAGGGTGAGAGAATTCACCAGAGCCAGAGCGGGGAGCAGAGCAGGCAGAAGGACCGAAGTACACTGCTGAGGGGAGCAGCGGGCGGCAGGAGAGGTCTGCGCGCCATGTGGGACCCTCCTCTGGTGGCCGGGGATGAGCCAGGGATCGAACCGGCGCCGCAGAGGCTGCGGGCAGCTTTGCAACCCAGCGCTCAACCGCTGCGCCACCTGGGAGGCCCCCTTAAGGCTTTTAATTCACTTTAAAAGCCATTTTCTACCAACAGAGAATTTCTGGTTGAACATTTCCAGGACTACATTCCTTGTAGGTAAGCAACTCTACTCCAATCTCTATAACTCTCTCCCCTTCCCCATACTTCTGATCAAATTTAAGATTAAGAAATATTCTTATTTACATTTTGGGAAAATAACTGGCATAACAGGAATTTCCTTAGAAAAAAATTTTAATAACAACATAATACAATTTCTGTGACTACAATATGCAATTGTTTAATATACATGGTAAAATCACTATTTTAGAAAGTTTCCAATTGTTTAAATGCTAAAAATCCCATACACTAGCATAAAGATGAACTATATTCAACTATATTTTATACCAAAATTAAAATTTACCAGTATCGCAGCATTGAGAGATGAGATAAAGTATCAACATCCTAAATTCTATTGGAAAAGTTCAACAATGATCTCATAGACTATCTCTAAGATATTTCATTTGCGGCATATGACTTGTCCTATTTAATAACATGGTTTATGTGTTTAACAGGAGGTTATAATTTGGAGGGCAGAGAAGAGGATTTGGAGGCTGAAATCTGTATCAGTCTAAGGAGGCTGAAATCTGTATCAGTCTAAAACTTTACAGGTTACTGGCATTTCTAGTGCCCTTTGACAAGTAGTATGAATGTCTGAATAAATAAATTACATTAACAGGGATTTCCCCATCTGTAAATTAGAGCTAATACACCTAATACAGAGAATATTTATAAAGAACAAGAGAACGAATGGGTGCCATAGTGTTTTGTTAACTTTCAGACTCTGAGTTATTTTTTATAATCTGTTAGAGTAGGATTTGATAACTTTTTACAAAACATCATGGCTTAGATTTCATATATTATTTATACTTTCCTTTTAATAAAGATAGCATTAGTAACAAATTTATTAATGTATTTTTTAAAAAGATTTATTTATTTATGCATGTAAGAACGGGTACAAGCCAGAGATATGGGGGACGGGAGGATTCACCAAAGACAGAGTAGGGAACAGAACAGGCAGATTGACTGAAATACATTGCTGAGGGGAACAGTGGGCAAGTCAGGAGATGTCTGCCGCGCCTTGTGGGTTAGCTCCCTCCCTGGGGATTGAACTCACCAGGGAGGCCCACAGTTGCTCTATTTGAATCTCACTAAAAATGGAGATAAAAAGCATGCTTACGTGTAAGATAAGATAAATTGTTTCCATTTAAGTTGTAAGTTGTGAAGATAAAATATGGTAACAACTTTCTATGATTAAGTTCTATTGTGGATTTATAGGTGGGAGAAATTTAAGAGTTTCTGTATCAACACATCTAGGGGCAAAGGGTATGGAACTTTATAGCATGTTTATTAATGCATCAGTTTTGAAACAGGAACGTTAGTATTTTTATTACAAGAAAAAGAATTGCATACATTAATCATTTGTTTAATCAAGGTAATAGCTGGATCCCAATCTCTGAAGTAATATGCTATTTCACAATACAGTATCTTAGGTGCATATAATCATCTTTGAGTTTTTATTTGTCAGAGGTACTTGAGGCCCTATCTAGTATGGATGACTCCAGGGCATTTCACATTCAAAATCATTAATTTCAAAATATTTTACAATCTATCTTAAAAGTAATGTTCTTATGAGGGAGGTCAAAATTAGTTCATTTTTATTGGCAAAAGATAACAGAAAATTCAAATAAAAACAGCTATGTTTCCGTTTTCCATAATTATTCTAAATCATATTGCCAACAATAATTTAATAAATACAAAACCCAGTAGTTTTAACATCATATTTAATGTTGGTTAACTCCTACATCTTTTTTAGAATGTAAAATTCCAACTTTGGTACAGAAAATTTTCTTCTAATATAAATTAAACACATAGAAATAAAAATCTATGTGTCATAAAAATTTAAAAAGACAAAAACACAAAACACCTTGCAAGCATACAGTTTCCTAGCAAAAATTTTAAGCACGTAATTTTCATATAAGGCACTTCTTCAAAAAAAAAAAGTTTCATAAAAAATTTCCATTTTATTTTGCAATCCAGTCTTCATAAATTATATAGTAACAATGTTGCTTCAAGCAGAACTTTATTAAATACCCAATTTTGGCATAGTTTCTTTAAATGTCTTTATCTTTGAATAAAATGAAGGATAGGCATCAAGTTCTACGCAGGCCAATCTTAACTGAAATGTACACTTGGCTGCTTTAGATTTAGAGAATTGGTAAAATTTTATCCTGTTGATCTTGCTCAAGAATCTTGAAATCTTCCAAAGGAAGATTGCTTAAGGCAGTTGGTAAAATGTGCTCTGATGTGCCCTTACGTAATATGTTATTTGCTTCTAGATTCTTCACCAAGCAGGTGGCTTTGATCCATCTTCGAGTTGCTCTGCGTTCTTTTTGTAGGCAACTTTTCATTTTCCTTCTTAAGCTTGCTATTTCTTTTTCCAGTTTAATTATCCTCTTTTTTGCCTCCATAGGATTCCTAAAGGCATAACTATGTTCAAGTAGTACTTGCTGACTATTAATGTTTGATTTTAAATTAGACGGTCCGGCTGGAGTACAACTGTTGTTTTTCTTCAAAAGATTCCTTGACTTGAGTTTCTGAGCCAAATAAAATTAGAGGATTGAACATAAATTATGGAATATCACAAATAAATAAATTGTTGAGTTTTTAATAACTATATTAAACTGCTCTTTTAAAAGCCAATTTAAAGAGATTATTAGGAAATATCAGCAGTCCATTTCATGCAATTATGGATTCATGTTTTTCAACTAGTTGAATTAACTCCAGCTAGCTGTTTTCTTTTTTGTCTTCTCTCTCCAGTTACAAACTTTGGTGTGGAAATAGACAATGGACATCCTAGGTCTCTTCCCAATTACTATGGATCTATGGAGATTTTAAAAATCCTTTGCAATTTTCTTGATAAGGCCAAGACAGAATGTATGTAGATATTTTGTTTACTTGTAGTACTGATTTGCTTTTTTTTTTTTTTTTTAAGATTTATTTATTTATTTATACAAGAACCGGGGTACAGGCCAGATGCGCGGGAGGGTGAGAGGATTCACCAGAGACAGAGCGGGGAACAGAAGAGGCAGACTGACGAAATATACCGTTGAGGGGAGTAGTGGGCGAGATAGGAGAGGTCTGCCGCGCCACGTGGGACCCTCGCCGGCTGGCGGGGATCAAACCAGTGCTGCAGAGGCTGTGGACAGCTTCACAGCACTGCGTTCAACTGCCTGCGCCACCAGGGGAGGCCCTGATTTGCTCTTTTTTTAGGTAATTATTATTCCCTCAACTTGAAAATATTTGAGGCCCTAGTATCCCACTTAATAAAAACATATTCCCAAACATCAAGCTCCTGAATAGATTTTCTTATTTAGGAATTTCTTGTTCAGTTTTATCTTTCAATTAAGGATTTAAAAATCTGGCTGGGAATTTCTCTTCTCACTCCATACAGGAAACCCATGGACACTTTTTCCCTTTATCTCTTTCATTCAACTAATTACCAAGTTCTATTTGTTCTAATTCCTAAGTATCTCTATCATCAATCTTCTCTCCATTATTCTTTTTTTTTTTTTCCAAAAGATTTATTTATTTATACAAGCACTGGGTACAGTCAGAAGCACGGGAGGGTGAGAGAATTCACCAGAGCAAGAGCGGGGAACAGGCAGACTGACGAAGTACAATGCTGAGGGGAGCAGCGGGTGCGGCAGGAGAGGTCTGTCGCGTCATGTGGGACCCTCGCCAGCGGCCGGGGATCGAACCGGCGCTGCAGAGGCTGGGGGCTGCTTTGCAGACCAGTGCTCAACCGCTGCGCCACCAGGGAGGCCCTCTCCATTATTCTTAATGCTAATATCCATATCAGGTCCATAGAGTATGTTAATAACTTTTTTTTATTGCCCTCCACCTCATTTTGATCTCATGGACCCATATTCTGCCACCAGAATAATTTTTCTAACTGGTTTAATTCCTCTTTGTCTACCCAATATCAAGAGAAAATAAATCTTTTCATGGCCACTGAACCATTTAGGGTCTTACCCCACTCTACTATTCACCATCTTGATTTCTACTACAGCAATACTAAACCACTTAGTCACCATTATAACCTCTAATTTTATGTCTTTTTGAAACGCAGGGGAATTAATTTCTATACACATAAATAAGACAAATATGACTCCTGTCCTCATGAAACCTATAATTGGTAGTCCCTTTGCCTGAAGGAAGTGGCAGGGAATCTTTTTTTTAAAAGATTTATTTATTTATGCACACAAGATCTGGGGTACATGCCAGAGTTGTGGTGGGGTGAGAGGATCCACCAGAGACAGAGTGCAGAGCAGAACAGGCAGACTGACTGAAATACACGGCAGAGGGGAGCAGCAGGCTAGTCAGGAGAGGTCTGCTGCGCTGTGTGGGTCATCTCCCTGCCTGGGGAGCAAACTCATGCTGCAGGGGCTGCAGATAGTTTCACAGGTTGCATCTTAATCCCTTGCGCCACCAGGGAGGCCCAGCAGGGAATCTTTTTGATCTTTATATTCCCAGCATCTAACTTAGATTCTTATATAATATTTGGTAAATATTTGTTGAATGAATAAATGATTAAAATGTTGTATATTTCAACTCTAATATATATATATGAGTGTGTACTACAGATTTGTGTGTACTATAGTGGTACAGAGGATTCAGAAGTGAAAGACACAGTTGCCCTCTTGGAGCTTTTCTACTATCTGTAATAATTAGTTCATCACAACCTCTTCTCCTGTTCAGTTAATTCCTGTACATTTACAAATTTAATGGTCACAAATAATTCAAGAATAGCAGTGTTTTCCCCTCTCTCAGATGAAAAGATATGTCTTCCTTTTAAACACCAAACTCTATTTTTGTTCATTATATCCTTTCTAATCTTTCAATGAGCCTGCCTTTCTTGGCTTTTTCTAAGATATTCCTTAACTAGATAAAATATTGTTTGAGTTCACTCACCAACCTTAACTCTTTCCTTCCTTTTACCTAAAGCTTGCTAACATTTTATTATTTTTCCACTCCTCAGCTCATTGGCTTTTTTTCTTACTGTGCTATTGCAATATTCAAAAACCCTCTTTTGAGTTCCAAATCCTACACATCTGGGCTCTATGAATTTTTTTGTTATGCTTCTCCATGGACTTATATTCCTTGGTGTAACCCTGGTATTCTCTGGGTATGCAGCTCTTAAAAGAACTGCTTTAGAGCACTGCTAAGTGCTGAGCGATGCTGGCGGTTTCATTATTTATGATTTCTCAATTTTTACCAATGGTTAATTTGCTGATAATAACTGGCAGTAGCAAAAAATTCCAATATAGTAAAAAGTTTGGATTGGGGAAAGAATATTGGTGTCAAATAGCCTAAGCTCTAATTCTAGCTTGCACCTTTATTGTGTAAGTAGAAGTTCTGCAACTTTCTTAAGGCATTTCATTAAATATGAATTTCAATGTATTCTGAATTGCTTCATTTTATAAGTAAAAAAGGAATGGATTCCAATAATGGTAAAAGTGGGTAATAGAAAAATAATGTTACCTACCATAGACTTTATATGAGTACAAAAATCAAAAATAGTTGGAACAGCATCCATTTTAAGTCGTCTAGTTTGTCCTGTTAGGTCAAAACAGGAGGCTTCAAAGTGCTTTGAACAAAGAAAAGTGTGTTTTCCTGGCACAAAATTTTTGCGCCTAACCAGGCGAACCCATTCTTTTCTTCTTTTAGGATCCAAAGGAAACCTTAAAAAAAACAACAACAAAGAACTAAGATTCCAACTATCACACTTCTGATTGCACTTAAATGGTTAAAAGAAATTTTAAAAGATGATACTTGAAGAGTCTTACATTTACAAATTTTTTTTTAAAATTTCCAGTGTCCAGACACTGAAAGAGACACTAACTCATACTTACAACCCCCCCACCCCCCAATTTATGTGATTTTATTTTTCAGGGTTTTAAAGATATTTTCTTTGCAAATTGGTCCTCAGTTTGGGCACTAAAAATAAAGAAGACTAATCTAGGTGATAATGTCACAATGTTTGACATGTTGTTGATGTACATTTTAAAACCAAATCAGATATTTACAGATTAAATTTTATCAAGGAAAGTCTAGGCAGATTTTGGTATTCCTTTCTCTGTATTCCTTTGTTATACCACATTATTTTGTAGTTTTTCCAATTTAATAAGTTTCCAGTGAAATGAAAAGTAGATTATAAATTTCCTACAGACAGGACTTTCATCTATTTCTAACACTTAGCACAACATCTTGTAAACAAAAGGGACTCAAAAATTTGCTTATGTAATATGAATACAGCATATTTAAAGTAATAATTCACGGGCCTCCCCGGTGGCACAGCGGGGGAGCACTGGGTTGCGAAGCTGCCCGCAGCCTCTGCCAGCAGCCACCGGAGGAGGGTCCCACATGGCGCGCAGACCTCTCCTGCCGCCCGCTGCTCCCCTCAGCAGTGTACTTCGGTCCTTCTGCCTGCTCTGCTCACGGCTCTGGCTCTGGTGAATTCTCTCGCCCTCCCGCGCTTCTGACTGTACCCAGTGCTTGTATAAACAAAACAAACAAACAAGCAAACAAATAAATAAAAAAACATGCCTCTTAAAAAAAAAATGAAGTAATAATTCACTGTATTACATCTCTATGGCTAAATTGCATGTATTAAAACAGTAAACTCTTATGTGATATAGAAAGCATAATTATTACAAAAAGTAAAATGCTACTGAGAAAGCAGCAGGAATGTTGTACTTTCATACTTATTTCAAATATAAAACATAGATATATATGTTTATACATATAAATAGCAGCCAGTATATATATATATATATATATATACACACACACAGAGTTTATATATATATGTAGCAGCCAGTATATACCCAATACAGGGACCTATTTAAAAATTCTAGTGGTGGGATCTACCTGGTGGCCTAGGGGTTAAGTCTCAGAGGTATCAACTCTATGACCTGAGTTCAATCCCTGGCCTGGGAGCTGACCCACATATGGCACAGCAAACCTCTCATCTCACCTGCTGCTCTCCTCAGCAGTGGATTTCAGTAGATCTGCCTGTTCTGCTCCCCACTCTGTCTCTGGTGAATCCTTTCACCCATGTCCCCCTCCCCTGCGACCTCTTACTCCCCACTCCCGCCCCCTCCCCTGCACCCCAGTTCTTCTTTGCAAAAATTAATAAATAAAATATTAAAAAAATTGGGAAAAAAATCCAGTGGTAACTGTTGACTGGCTTGGAAATGTAAAAGTCAACATTAACATGTAATAAATTTGAGTCGAATTCTTCTTTAGTTTGACTACAAGTATTAGTTGTGAACTGACTAGTGTTTAAAAAGAACTAGTAATGTTAGGAAATCATGACTTAGAAGCCCCCATCTGAAGCCTCACTAGAAAACAGCTTTTGCCACATCAAAAATGCTATTTTTTTTAAAATCTTCCTACTTTTTCTAACTGTAAGTTTCAGTTTCCTCTCTTCTTTGAATAAGCAATTTGCTAATCTATATCTTTTCCTGTTTCTGGACGAATATTTTCTTTTATTTATGCATACAAGAACTGGGGATTAGCCAGAAGTAGGGTGGGGGGAGGTGTGAGAGAATTCACCAGAGAGAGAGTGGGAAGCAGAACTGGCAGATCTACTGAAGTACACTGCTGAGGGGAGCAGTGGGTGAGCTAGGAGAGGTCTGCTGTGCCATGTGGGTTATCTCCCTGACTGGATCCTGCTGCAGTGGCTGCCTATAGCTTGATAGTGCTGAGACTTAACCGCTTGTGCCACCAGTGAGGCCCAAAACTACTTTTTTTGCTCAAATTATCAGCAGTCAGGGCTTAAAGCAATGAAAGCCCAGATTTACTGGTTAACAGCCTGCTGTCCTGTTTCTGTTCTCCTAACCCAAAACACCTTTCTCTGAAGACATTAGCATCTGTATGTCACTCTGTAACAGGGTGGTCCCCAGGAAACTGCCTTTTCTATCCACCTGGCTGCTTAACCCCACCCTCAGGTCCCAGCCACCTTCCCTTTGGTGGTGATGGGATTTGGAGTTCCCAGTGTCTTTGGCTTTGACCTGGGGTGGGGGTGGAGTCCACAAAGCCTATATGGAAATAGCTTTGGGACATCCTTTTCCCCCTAACAACTCTATAGTTACTCTATTTTTCTACTTCGTTAGAAACCTCTGAAAAGGAATGTATCTATTTGCCTCTCACCTCTTAATAATATTCTCATTTCAAATACCTGTTTCAATATATTTGATGGTTTGGAAATGTTTCCTGAGGCCTAAGCTAAAAATCAAGCTTTAGTTTATAAGCACATTTTTTCTTATTAGGATCTCAATATCCAGTATCATTGTATTATCACCTACATAGGACTGTGTTTCAGGTACTAATTTCCAACCTTTCCTCTTAAGCTCTTTTTAAAACTAGGTCCCTAATTAAGAGACTAGTGCCCTCAAATTGAACACTATTTTAATCAAAACCTACTTTTTCTTTAAAAACTCAGTTTGGGAATCCAATATTCTTTTTTTTTTTCCAAACTGACTTTATACCTTAATTTTTTTTTTACATCATTGTTCATTTTCAAACAGTATTTGCTCCCCCCCCCCGAAATTCAACCTTCTTAAGGAACCTTTTCATGATCAGAAGACTAGGTTAATGTTACCGATCATATAGTACTATATTCTAATTGCTTACTTTTACATCTGTACTACTAGATTATTCATTTCTCCTGGATAGGAGCTGTTTTCACTGTTATCCTGTTAAGTACTCAATGAACTTTTTTAGTAAATCAGTGAATGCACTAGTGGGATTAATTTGGCCTTACTAATCTTTAGATTATCTGTGTTAGAATAATAAGAACCAATACTTATGTACTGAATTTTAGATGTTTTTATTCATCATTATCCTTAGTCATGTTTTCATGTGTTGATGGATTTTTATCAGCATCTTCACAGGGTGGATGATGTAGCCCATACACTGAATTTAAGTTATAATAAATCATGCTGTAAATATTACAAAATTAACATGGTGGTAATCTGAATCGAAATTTCAGAAACATTAGGTGTTCTGGAAATCACTCAGTATTTTAAACAACTAATTTGCTTGAGTCCTTAATAAATAGCTGAATGCCTCTTACATTCTAAACACTATATTAGGTACTGAAGGCATAGTGGTAAAGAAATCTTATCTACTTTTATGATATCTACTTTTTTTTTTTTTAAGATTTATTTATTTATTTATACAAGCACTGGGTACAGTCAGAAGTGCAGGAGGGTGAGAGAATTCACCAGAGCCAGAGCAGGGAACGAAACAGGCGAGACTGACGAAATACACTGCTGAGGGGAGCAGCGGGCGGCAGGAGAGGTCTGCGCGCCATGTGGGACCCTTGCCTGGCGGCCAGGGATCGAACTGGCGCTGCAGAGGCTGCGGGCAGCTTCGCAGTCCAACGCTCAACCGCTGCGCCACCAGGGAGGCCCTCTACCTTTTTTTGAAGAAAAAAAAAGAAAAAGAAAAGATTTATGCACAGAAGAACTGGAATGTAGGCCAGAAGCGTGGAGGGTTAGAGGATTCATGAGAGACAGAGTGGGGAGCAGAACATGCCGATTTTATTGAAATAGACTGCTGAGGGGAGCAGCAGGTAAGAAAGGAGAGGTCTGCTGCACCATGTGGGTTAGCTTCCTGGCCAGGGACTGAACTCAGGCCACAGCATTGATAGTGCTAAGACTTAATCCCTGCACTACAAGGAAGGCCCTAATATCTACCTTTGCTGAGGGTGTTCTGAATAATTTGATGCAGCAGAAGAAAGTGACTGAGGATATTATCTCCAGTCAAGCCAGGGCATTGATTCTCAAAGAATAGCTGGGTGACTCTAGTTAAGTTATATATTAACATTTTTAGGTTGCAGTTTTATCATCTATGAAGTAGAGTAATGGTACCTAGTGTGGCCTTAAGGATTAAGTGAGACAAAGTGAGTAAATGCTTAACCCAGTGCATAGTACATGGTAATACTAAATAAATGCTATTTATTATTCTAAAATTAATTACAAGTATCATGGGTGTTATAAAAGGTTAAGTATAAGGTCACATAAACAGGAAGAACTAATCTGATTGGGAGGCCTTAAGAAAGTAGGATTTAGCTGTGGTGGGAGTAGTATAGTGAAGTGTATTGATATCTTGGGGGTGGAGAAGGGTTTTTCATAATGAACTAATACTGGAGGACTTTCTAAGTTAAGGAATAATTTTGAGATTTATCCAAATGTCATTAGTAAGTTGTTAAAAGGCCAAATTTAAAAAGCAAGTAGATGTTAACTTAGACTACAGGAGCAGTTGCTATCATTTTGGTAAGAGTGAGAAAACCTATGTCTTGGTATGAGGAGAGGGGCTGGCAGAGGAGACTGAAGGAAACAAGCCAAAGAAGTAAAATGGGGCCTCTTTGGTGGCCTAGGGGTTAAGTCTCAGCGCTATCACCACTGCGCCCTGAGTTCAATTCTCAGCCACATCCACATTTGGTACTGTACACCTCTTCTGTCTCGCCCCGTTCCCCTTAGCAGTGTATTTCAGTAGATCCGTCTGTTCTGCTTCCCACTATGTCTGGTGAATCCTTCCCTCTCCTCCTCCCCGCCCCCCTACCTCTGGCCTACACCCCAGTTCTTCTACACAAACAAAAAAATTTTTTTTTAAAAAGGAAGTAAAATGAAAATCACAGTATTAGTGTCAGATAATTCAAAAGTATAAAGTATTTCAAGGAGAAATGATCACATTCCATGAAAAGTCTATGTAAGAGTGACAACTCAGCAAGAGCAGTTTCAGAGGATTATTGGGGAGACATACTGGATTGGGCTGAGTACAAGAAAAACGGAGACGGTAAGTTTATAAAGCCAACATAATTTGTAAATGGGGATAAGTCTAACGTCCTAGAAGTTAAATGTTATTTGCATTTATGAAGTAGGGATGTATTTTTATTATGTTATTTTAAGACAAATTTCTGGGTTTGCACGTGAAAATGTCAATTTCCTAATAGGCAACTAGTCAAATACAGAAAGGAGGTATGCATGTACTACCATACATCTCAACTATTCATTATTGGTGCCTTGAGTCCCTCCTCTCCTCACCTTTTATATGGAATGACCAAATACAGTAGCTTTGAGACATTTCTCAAATATGTCTGTTTCTTTCCATCCCTACTAGGAGCACTACTCTAGTCTAAGCTACTGGGTGCATGATCTCTGATTTTCCTACAGGTTCCTAACTGTTTTTTCTCTACAGTGTATCTTAATACCCTATTTTTTTTTTTTTTTTAATAGAGGCATGCTTTATTTATTTGTTTGCTGGTTTTGTTTTGTTTGTTCTGTTCATACATGCACTGGGTACAGTCAGAAGCGCGGGAGGGTGAGAGAATTCACCAGAGCCAGAGCGGGGAGCAGAGCAGGCAGAAGGACCGAAGTACACTGCTGAGGGGAGCAGCGGGCGGCAGGAGAGGTCTGCGAGCCATGTGGGACCCTCCTTAGGTGGCCGGGGAGCAGCCGGGGATCGAACCGGCGCCGCAGAGGCCGCGTGCAGCTTCGCAACCCAGCGCTCAACCGCTGCGCCACCGGCGAGGCCCCCTTAATACCCTATTAAGTTCAGTTGACACTGAAGCAGAATTTTCCTGTGAAAGAAGCTAGAGTTAAATTAACATTCTATAATAAACCCCTTTTTCCATCATCAGATTTGTCTTCTTGATGATGTTCGACTAACACTTTAAATACTGCACTTATCCACACTGTAGGGAGAGCTGCTTAATATGCAAATCCAATCATGCCATTCTTTTAAAATCCTTCAGAGTTTCTCAACTACTCTTCGGATAAAACAAAAATCCTCAAAGTAGAACTATATACGATCGAATCTAATCACCCTTTATTGAGTGTTCTTTGATTTTACAAAGCTGTTAAATCTCTCATATTTTCTCTTCTGGGCACTTTACTGTAATTTATTGTCTTTCTTTCCCATTATTCTAAAAACTCCAAAAAGGTAAGAACTTTTACAGATCCCTCGCACAATGTCAACCAAATAATCCTGTACGTTTCTGACAGATGAATTACAGCACTACATTTGCATGTGGTAGTTGAAAAACAGAAACATCACAAAGATTTTAAGTGGTAGTTTTTAATAAAGGGGTATATTTGTTCACAATGAGGTGGCGAAAAAGTCAGGATATAGTTTTCTACATTCTAAGATGTATTAAGTTATTAAGTATAAAATCAGAATTGTTTGTACTTTTAATGCTTCTTTCCTTCGGGCATATGGTAGGCACTTGCAGAGAAGGTAAACATTAATTGGAGTGGTCAAAGTGCTTTCAAGAGTTCTGATTTGATAAAGAATTTTGATTGCTCTTGCAGCAGACAAGGAAAAAGAAAATTGGATTCTATTTATTATTCTGTTCTGGTAATAGAAAGCTTATCATTTGCACTGAACTCCGTGGCTATCAAAGACGACTCAGTTCCTCCTACAAGAAATCTAGATGTTTCCATGTCAATTGAGCTAATGAGAATCACCTAATTTTAACGGGAATCCTGCTCACTGTTAAGATGATTGCAAACTTAAACAGGAAGCTCTCGCCCCTCTTACTGTTAGGGGGAAACGCGCGGGTGAGGACCCACAGTCAGGCACCCCGTTTTGTATCGGGGTTGCTCTACAACATTACGACTTCTAGACCGGTCTAATACAGAGCTGAAAAAGAACTGAAAATTAAGGTAACCTCTGGTTACTTTTTCTCTAAGGAGTAATGACCCTATAAATTTTGCATTTCCTGGAGAAAAACCTTCCCCTAAGGGAGACAAAAACTGAAGGTATGAGAAACACAAAGGGCAAAAATGATGTTTTCTTACTACCAACTAGTCAAGTCATTCGAATTAGTAGACCCCCTTGGTTCCTTCCAGACAAGTGCTACCCAAATCTAGGCGGTCCCGTTCCCCTCACCACCCCCATCCCTGCCCATATTACCTGTGGAAGCTGATGTTAATGTGCTTGTTGTAGGTAGTAGCACAGCCCGCCGCGGCGCAATTGGTCGGCATTTCCCTTTCCCCCTCATTCGGCGCAGTCTTAAGCCAGTTCTGAAGCGCTGGCTGCTACTTTTCCTTCGGGCACTGGCTGGGCAAGGAACTCAGGGGAAGGGCTACCGAGCTCATTGTGGGAGCCGAGTGAAAGAAGGGGTGTGCTTGTGTCTGGGTGGTGGTGGTGGTGGTGGTGGTGGCCGCGGGGGAGGGGGGCCAGGGAGCAATGTCAACCTTTCCTTCTCTTTATTAATATGGCGGACTTGAGCCAGCAGAGCCGACGGCCCTGGAGCTCCAGTCGCCTTCATTGCCTTCACCAACATGGCGGAAAGCCCTCCCCCTCCCCCTCCCCGCCCCCCAAAGGAAGCCAGACTACTGTTTCTCTTCTACGTAGCAATCAAAAAGAGGCGGTTCCTCCACCTTCCCCGATTACCACAAAACTCTCGCGGCGGAGAGTAAAAGCAAGCCCGCCCACGGCACCGCGCACCCAGTTATCCCAATCCAGAGTCTGGAATGCTTGCGGGCCATCGGCTGGGACCGCCCAATCGCGCGAGGCTGGAAAAACTACAAATCCCACGGAGCACCGCGCTGCCCGGACGATTATCGCGTGAACTGGGCGCCTGGCTTCCTGCGTGCCGCAGGAAGTGACGTCCAGGGCCAGCCACTTCAAGTGCCCCTTTCTCGCGAGGCGGAAGAGCCCCGATCGCGGAGGAGCAAGGGGGCGCTAAGGCAGGGAATTGGGCTGCGACGGTCCGGCGAGAAAGAGCTGGGGTGCGGGGAAGTTGGGGAGCAAAGCCCGCGCTAGGTGTCCGAGTCGGGCGAGACCGCACCGGCCGGGGCCGTTAGGAAGGAAGGAAACCGCGGAGGAAGGCGCTCGTCGGGCGGATCCCCGGACGGAGGGCTAAGGTGGTGTGGAAGGCGCTGCTCCCGGGATGGCGACCGCGGATACTCCGGCTCCGGCCTCCAGCGGCCTCTCGCCCAAGGAAGAAGGGGAGCTGGAAGACGGGGAGATCAGTGATGACGATAATAACAGTCAGATACGGAGCCGGAGCAGCAGCAGCAGCGGCGGCGGGCTGTTACCGTACCCGCGACGAAGGCCTCCTCACCCGGCCCGGGGCGGTGGATCCGGCGGAGGCGGTGGCTCCTCGTCGTCGTCGTCCTCGTCTCAGCAGCAGCTGAGGAATTTCTCACGCTCGCGGCATGCGTCGGAGCGGGGCCACCTCAGGGGACACAGCAGCTACCGACCCAAAGAGCCATTCCGGTCTCACCCGCCCTCCGTGCGCATGCCGTCGAGCTCCCTGTCCGAGAGCAGCCCCCGGCCGTCCTTCTGGGAACGCAGCCACATCGCCCTGGACCGTTTCCGCTTTCGAGGCAGGCCTTACCGGGGTGGGAGCCGCTGGAGTCGGGGGCGAGGAGTGGGGGAGCGAGGAGGCAAGCCGGGGGGCAGACCTCCTCTGGGAGGAGCGGGATCCGGATTCGGCAGCAGTCAGAACTGGCGAGAACCCTCTCCACCTCGGAAGAGTTGTATCCTTAACGTGGCGGTCTGCCCTGGGTGTGTCGCTCGCTGAAGTTCCCTCTGGCGTCATTACTGGGTCTGAGATGAGCAACTTTTCTGAGCCGTCAGAGCCGCTCATTTGTCAGTGTCAGCCCACTGAAAGCAAGCTCTTCTTTGGTAACCTCCATGTGTCACGATCTAGTGTTTCTTAAAATTAATGGGGGCCAGTGCTTTCGACCACTACCGTGCTGCGGATGAGGGGCAAGCTGTCGGAATCTAGGAGAGCTTAAGGTCGGATTTATAGTGGTACAGTAGAAGGCCAACTGTCATTAGCTTTTTTGTTTGTTGGTTTGTTTTAAATTTTTCTGCTGCGGGAACTTTGTTTTTATGTGAAGTTCAGTTAGATAGTTAGAGGGAAATACAGACATTTTGGGGAATACTGTTGCTTAGATCATATTGCACTGTGAAATTGAAAATTTTGAAGTTTCATTCTGCATCATCCTACCTTTGTGGATCTGTTTTTACCCTTCTTGATTTATTCTTACACGTTAGTGCCTTTAAAAATTTGGGAGGGGAAGGCAAGGTATTGTCACCGAGGAATGTAGAGCTTAAGTACCTACCTCCTTTTAAAAAGAAAACTTTACCTCCTTAATTGCTCTATTTCTTATGTTAATTTTTGGTGTGACTTAGTGGTGACCAGTGTGGGCCACTGAGAGAAAGCTAAACTTAACCAGGTCTTGATTTTCTTCTATAGGCAACTTGCGTGAGGGTGGAAATAATGGAAAGGCTGGGAAGAAAATTAGCAAAATGTCTGGTTTTTGCTACCTCTAACGTTATTCTTAATTATCTTTAACATTCCTGAGTTTACTCGGGATTTATACTGAGGAGTGGAACAACAGAAGGGGTGCTATTTTATGATGGGTTTATAGAACTAGGTCTTAGCTTATTCCATGGTAGCTATAAAAGTAGTTTACTAAGCACTTGTATTACTGGTTGTAATTTCTATGGTGTAGTGATTTCTTAACGTGTTCATTGTGTATGATTGACATTTATCTATGATGATAATTTGTTTGGAAGACACTCAACATTACTTCTGTAGAATATTCAGAGCCAAATGGTTTTTCCCAGAAGCTGGGATATAAAGGGGAAAGGAATGTAGGTTTAGATAAGAAGTAGTGACTTCTGGTGCTATTGCCCTGAAGGAAATTACTTCTGCGCTCAGAGTTGGGTTAGGAGCATTGTGGGATTGTTTCAGAGAAAATTATGTAGGTATACAACTTTTAAAAAGACAGGCCTCTTTATGCCCACTTGTGTCTGTGCAAGGGTCATCTTCTCCCTTCGAATACAACGTTTTGGGAGCTAGAATAATAAAAAAAGACAGAGGGTAGATACTCTTAATAGAGTTAGAAAATCTCTACCCAAGTTGTTTTTTTTTTTTTTTAAACCAGGGACTTAATAGTTGTCAATTCTGAATTTAAAAATGGAACGGCTATTTAAGCATTTACTTGTATTTTTTAAGAATACAAAGATGAAACTTGTAATTTGTGTGGCTGAGACAGAGTTACACTTTAATGTAAAAAGTTCAAACTAAGGTATGTAAAAAGTAGTATGAAAACTGAAAGTTTTTTCTTTATTTTATATTAGACAAGGGGGTGATGAGTGGTTTACCTACCTCCTAACTTTTCCTTTCTGTTTAGTCATTCAGTACCACTTTGCCTTCTGCCCTCTGATTTTCTTGTTAAGCTTTTATGTTTTTATTAATAAATAGGCATATGATGTTGTGAAGCACGTACAGGAAGACATTTATTCTAATTTCTGTAATAACTTATCAGAAATGAGCTGTCTTTTTCTTTTCACAGATGCGGCATTTAAGAAAAGGATCCTCTGCTCATTGTTTTCCTCGTCAAGTATTATTAATCCATCCTTGAGGTGGTATTCTTTATAAGAATTTATGAAGGAAAACAAGTTCCCAGCCACTTTTGTGTAATGTGAATAGACACAATTTGTAATACATTTTATTAACTCAGATTCCTTTAGTATCAAGATTGTAGTTAGTTTAATTCATGTTTCCACTACGTGATTATAATAATGACATTTTATAAATATTGCATAAAAAAGAATAACTGGTTCTATGGCTCATTTTCCATAGTTTTCAAGTGAAGTAAGTTTCTTAAAACTTCTTTCTCTGTAATAAAGGTACATTAGATGCACCTTTAAAGAAATAGAATAAAGCAGATTTTCTTGTAGTTCCTTTTTTCATTCTCATTCATTTTTAAATTTTCTTACTGATAGAAAGTTTGTTAATCTGTCTTCTTAATGTATGTTTCCTTTGGATGACTACTGATGTAACAAACTTTCAAATTTTATTTGAGCAAACATAATTCGGTCAGCATTTTTCATCACTAAAAAGACTTTCCATTTTCACTTGTAGTTGTAAAGGTGAAATAGTTCTTTTTTTAAAACCAGGTTGCAGTTAGAAATTGAATCCAACTAGCTTAAAATTAAATCTTGTAGTGTTGGTTTCATCCTGACTCTTCTGTATAGACAGAGGTAGCTCTCATTAGCCTGGAAAGAAATTAGTAGTCATAATTGCAATTTTTGATCTTTTATTCTTTTGTTGGTGTACTGCATCTTTTCCATTTACAAATATTTCCAAGGTCTTCAGGTTTTTTTTTTAATAACTATTACTATGGTTGTGCCTTTAGATGGCGCTATTAAAAAGTGGAAACGTAGATGTAGACAGTGACAGAATTTATGTACAAAGGGTACATAGTAGTAGGTGTGAAGCAAGTAACTCTGGTTTCACATAGGTGACATTTGAATTGGGGTCATTTTGAAGGACAAAATCAAAACACAAAGCTATGCATTGATTGTGTTGAATAGGAAAAAGGTGAGATTCGAAAGGAAGTACAGATCAAATCATGAAGGCACTGTATGCCATTTTAAGGATTTTGTACTCTATTCTTAGTAAGATTTAAACAAGGAAAGTGATCTGATCAGATTTATATTCTAGAAAGATTAGTCTAGCAGTTGTATGCCTGGTTGCTTGTAGGAGATAGCACTCTAAAAGCCTGTCACCAGGCCAGCCTTCTTTCTTGCAGTATGTAAAACTGGGCGAGTACACTAGAGTGCTCAAAATGAAGAGAAAGAGGTGAAGTGGAGCTCACTGGAGAGCATCATTACTGCAGGATTTGGAAAGAAAGGACTCTGGAATATGTAAGGAAAAACGGAGGTAGGGAAACACAGAAAGAGTGGACTTAGGGAATCCAAGAGAGCAGTGGCTTACAGTATTCAGTGCTGTAGAGAGATCGGGTAAAATAAGTTTTGAAAATATAGTGCATAAATTCAACCAGCAGAAGCCAGATTCTGGTTGTGTAAAGAGGAGGATGGGTAAATAAACACTAATATTCTTTCAAAAAACTTGACTCTGAAGAAATTAAGAGTCACAGATTTACTGGAACAGTTTTGCTATAGAAGTGTTAAGATTTTCAGTTGTATGTCCTTTTAATTTCTAAAATATTTGGTGGTGATTCCTATTCTTGAATGGGTCATTAAAGAAGTTTAAAAGTGTTTGCAGTTATTTCTCCTAAAAGTTATTAAAAAGAGAAAAACCATATTTTAGGGAACTACTGTTAGGTCCTCGCTAATTCAAAATGATCTTTAAATGATTAATTGTATGAAAACTACATAAGATACTTGTCATAATTTCTTGGCTGGAATTATTTTGACTAGAAATTGTAGTTTGTAACTTTGTAGGCACGTCTAAAGAAGAAGCTATGTTCTATATATCACTATGTTACAGAAGAAAATAAAATCAGTTGGTTTAG